TTGCAGTCCCCAGACAAATATTTTACAGTTTATTCTTAACCTCTCCTGAATATGGGCGCACACTAAGAACATTTTGTCTTTTGTGCAGGGCAGAAGAAATCTGCAGGCCTGAAACTGCTTCTCAGCTTCCCACCCAAAACCAGCACACCTCACCTGAACTCACCACACCTCCTGCATGTGCAGAGCTTGAGTTGAGGGTGCAGTCAGAACAGGGGTTCTCACAAGACCTTCATTACTGCTTCTTGGGTGGTTAAAATAACGAGTAGTCGTTTCTGTGGTATTTTAGCTGTGTACAGTTTTGGTCCCGGCCAGGGAAAAGGAATTGCAGAGAAGAGCGTATTTCAAGTAATAAATTTAAACATCTTGAAGCTTGAGGGGAAAAAAATTAAGAGGAAGCCAAAGATTAGGGTTAGATCTTATTTAATCCAAACTAGGATATCCATCCCTGACAAAAATGTTGACCATGGCTATTCTCTTGGCACAGTGTCTGTTCTCTCCCCACCCTGCTTTCTTGGAAATCACTGCGCTCTGGCTCTTCAATTAGAGACGGATAACTGATGCATTGCACACTGGAAAAAGCTTATCACGCTGCATTATTTATTCCATCACTGGAGTCCTATCACCACTGTGAAATCTATTTCTCCAAGTTTGAAAGGGACTTGGATAAACCACCTGTCCATCCCATCTGGGACCGTCAAGTGTTGGATCCAGGCAGTTTGTCACAGACCCGTGAAAATGGCATTGATGAAGTGAATGTGTCTCTGGTACATATTTTGGAGCAAGGGTTTCTGCAGACGAGCTGGCAGAGGCTGAGCTGTGTTTTGGAGGCTCATCCGAACTGCAGCTCTCCTGTAGCTGGAAGCTCAGGCCTAAGTTTCTGCCCTTTCAGAGGATCCCTCAGTTTAGGTGTATGGACAGGGTGAGAAAAATGGTTTTAGGCTATAAAAATGGAGGGGTGAGGGAGATAGCAATGGTAGTCCCAGGCTGCTGGAGCATATCACCTCAGGGTACTACCCTGGGGAATCCAGGAGGTGGTAGAGAGTGGCTGGAGAGACAGGACCTCAGCCTCAGCTCTCATACTATATTGGAAAGAAAATTCCAGTGTCAAGCAAGGCAAGAGGATTTCCTGATTGATGGAAAGGTCAGCGTTATGGAGAATCCACACCTTTCAGGAAAGTCATCTGCACTGGGTGAGGGCAGGAGCCATGTAATGGAGCTGGATGTGCCCTACTCTCATTCTCCATAGCTAGTGGGATTGTTTCCTATAGCCAGTTTGGGAAACACCTATAAAACACACTTCTCTGCTGTGTTCCTTAGGGAGCTGGTGTGACTGCAAACCCCACACAGCTCAGGAGCTACAAGCCAAACTGCACAAAGCACTCACGGCACCACCACTGCAGAGCTCAGTGGCTGTGGGTTACAGGAGAACAAAACTAACCATGGAGAAGGTCATGGGCAGTGACTGTAAGCCCTTTTTGGGTGACAAACACCTGGAAAGCCCCTGAACCTGTCTTCCCCCTGGAGGCCCCACTCCTGGGGAGGAGGATGATGGGTTTTGCCTGAATCCCTGTTACTGACCAAAACTGCCACAGAAAAAGGAGCAGATCACAGAAGCTTTTAATGCATTCCTGTGGGTTTACAGTGGTCAGCACAGACATGGGAGAAGGTTTCAAAGGTCTGAGGGCTGTGCCTGAGGCTGCTATAGAAATGAGCCAAAGGGCAGTGCAGTGCTGGGTGCTCTACCTTGGCACTAGAGAGAGGAGACTTCATCTCTGTACTCCTTCCTGCAGGAGAGGTAGAAACTCCAGCCAGACCAAGGCAGTGGGCAGCCCTACAAGGGCAGGACAAGAAGTATTCCCAGGGAGAAATGAGCCCAGAGAGCTACAGTAGCCTGGGAATTTGGATTTGGCCAGTGTGTCATGGTGGCACGGGGCAGGGTGACCCTTGTTCCTTCAGCTGTGGCCGGTCTCGTTTACTCTCTCAGTGAAGACTTGCTTGTGAAACTGCAGGTGCAGATTATCTCTGTGACAGGATTAGCTGTAAGTGAAGGAGCCATAAATGTTTAATTTCAGACACAAGCTTGTCTGGGCCACAGAATACTTTTTTTTTTTTAATTTTAATTATTCAGTTTAGTTTCCTCTTGAAATTAGCCTTCAATACTAACCTCACCAATAACCCACCTACCCAATGTCAGTGTGAATAACATGGTTGTAAGAGTCAGTCCCCTTTCTCATGGAGCAGTTTTTGCCTGCAGACAAGGTGGGGAGCAGTTTTCACTCAACAGTTTTAACATTTTAGCTGATACCTCATTACCTGACCCTAACAAACCCATGTGCTTCACCTCATCTTAGCTGCTGATTAGCAGATGGAGGCACATCCTGCTGCCAGAGACCAAGAGGACAAACGGAGTGGCAGCTGTGTGTGAGTTCAGCTGGCAAAGGCTGGGAGGGTGACACTAGATGTGCAAAAGCATGTCAAAGAGGTAGGGAAGGCGTCAGATTTTGTTTTCTCTGCAAGAACGCCTACAACACACACCAGCCTTGCACCTAAAAGCAAAATCAAATGTTTTAGGTCAGTCTTTTTCTCATCTCCAGATCAGGAAGATCTGTTTGTCTCAGCATGAAACGTTTTCAGTGTTTTATTCTAGCAGAAAATTAATTCAAAGCTGCTATTTTAGTGTCCTATTATTTTAGATTCGAGTCATGTGTTTGAATGAGTGTATTTGATCATTTGGAGATCAAGAATGGAGAATGAGAATCAATTCCTCCATTGTTTCTTTACTTCTGAGTCCAGAATCTCTTCCTTTAGACAATGATATTATGGGACAGTTATTCCTTGCTGAAGACACAGAGAAGAATAATGGGAACCAAATATTTCTGCAGATGGGATTCTGTTCAAAAGATTGGAAAAAAAAGAGCAGAGTCTAAACTCTGCTATTATTTGGGACCAAAAAATGTGTGTAGCATCAAACCACAAGAGCAGTGATGGGCAGGGACCAGGTGGACTCTATTAGCGAGCAAGGAAGAGAAAGAATCTTTTTTCTTCCTGATAGCTGCCAAGAAACATGCTTGTTTCAGCTTTTGCATGAAATGATAGATGGTGGCTTTGAAGCCTGAATCTTTTTGGTTTTATCCCTTCTCCTTTTGGGACATGGGTGCTATGGATGTTCATTACTCACATTGGAAACATTTGCCACAGGAAGCTCCTGGAACAGACTTTGGAAAGCTGTGAAAGCCCTAATGTCAGCCGAAAACATCAGTGCTGTCCCATTTGCTGAATCAAATTATTAAGTGCCAAGATAAATCAATGTTTGTCATTCTCAATTTTACAAAATCCAGAGTTTTCAAACCCCCTTCCTACCAATAAAGTTCTCTCTACTTGAAAAGTGAGCCCATTTTGGTAGTAGCAGCTTTTGCAGAATCTGGAACTGTGTTTTCTGAAGTCTTGCTTCACTCTTCTATAAATTCCTTTCCACCTCTCTTTCTCTGGTGAAATAACCAGATATTTGCATTTTTTAAAAAAATCAGGATTTTCAGTAGTCATAAAGCATAGGCTAATGAGCCTCTTCTGCAAGACTGTTTAGTTAATTAATATTTATATACTGCAGCAAGGCTCTAGAGCTAATCTATGAAGTGTTATTTAATAATTCTGAATATCTACCTTGGGAACCCGAGATTGAAATTCACTGCAATTGAATTAAGGTTCAATTAAAGGTTCTTTCCATTAAATCTTTAGCATAAGAGCAATGAACACAACAAAACATGAAGCAAGAAGATGCAACTCTGCCTGGCAAGCCTGTGGGCTGAGATAACCAGGAGCCCACACTCCTCTCCAGCCAGTGTCTCTCTCGTGATGTGACTTGTCCTGTTGTCTGTCACAGAAGGAACCAGAATATGGAACTGAGAGTCCTTTCTCACCATAATTCAAGCACTTTTCTACCATCACTCAGCAACCATCACATTGCAGGGCTGTGGATCATTCCTGGGACTAATGCCTTCTTCAATAATGTTGTTGCAGCCATGTGCTGGAGAAGACTTGCTCACAGACCAAAGAGCTTGTTACTTTTGGGGAGGTTGGGTGTGTTTGTGCATGCGTGTACAGAACTGCATCCTGCAGTTATGGCTTCCTGGAGAATGCCAGTGGGTGGTTCAAAAAGTAAAATAAGGATATTATTATTATACACATATAATTTGATTCTTTTAGTCTGAAATAAGCCCCCGGTAAATATATATTTACTTGGCAGTGAAAATATAAAACTTGGTTTGGCAATTACGTTTAGGAAAACATTAGGAACTCAAGGGAGAAAATATTACTTGGCCAAGTATGTTGAACTAATGCTGAGAAATGGGGCTCTGTGAATCTGAATTCAACTCAGTTTTTTAAAGCTACTTACCCGGTCTCCTTCCACTGTTGGCCAACTGACAGAAATTCAATATTTTTCTTCTAGTGAATGAAAAGCGTAGTCAGAAACAGGCATTGGGTCAGGTTCATATGCAAAAGCTCCTCTTGTGCTTTTGTTTCCTAATTGCTTTTGGAAGGATTTTTTGAACTGGGCTGACGCAGTTGTGTGTGTGAATTTCCTGGCAAAAAAGAAAGGTGACTGTGTCCAAAAGACATTTAAGAGTGTGAATTCACAGCCTTTCCATGTCTAATCAAGGAGCGTAAACCATTAGCCACATGTTCCCCATTTCCATCACATTTTTTCACACTTAAACAAAAACATGCCAAAGGAAAGGTGCTACATTTTTTAATGCCCCCAAATAGGAACCACAGGAGTCCATTAAATGCTGTGGTCATTTCCAGCATACAAATCAATTTTCCTTGTGGTGGTGAAGTGGTGAATAATGCCTGGTTTGTTTAAAGGAGCATGACTGATTTTGGATGAAGAATCCTGTCACTTTGGCATTTTTAGTTTTATTTATTGCATGCAAGCGTATAAAACCTGGTACTGGTCTCAGTGCCAGGCTTACTAGTGGAAAAGCTGAAAGGACCATATAACGTCTGCAGCAAAGAGGTTCTCCTCCTGCAAGGCATTTGCTGGACTCCTGAAAAATTATTTTGATTAACATGGCAGAGAAGGATTTCATCAGTTGGCATCTACTGGCTTTATTTTTTCTTCCATTTTGCCTGTGTCAAGATGAATACATGGAGGTGAGCAGAAGATCTTATAAACCAGTGGCCAAAATATTGCAAAGTCACCACCAGACTGGTCACAAAGGTTCCAGAAGCAGGGAAATATTGAAACAGCGGACTCAACTTATAGAGTGGACTGTTGATAATAGCACATCTACAGACCATAAAGTCCTGAGACCAGAGGTAGATGATGTAGAACTGACTACCTCAGATAGAGTCCAGGTACTCTGAATTAATCTTTTAAAGATATCTTTAAAACTAATGAGATATTTTATTTTTTTGCTAACATTATTAGTGATATATTTATGAAATAATTATTATTAAAGTTGTGTATTGGTCTGTATCCTGCTGGGCTGCTTTATAGGATCTTTTAATGAGCTGGTAGAACCAGCAGTGGTTGGGGACACTGGTTTCAACACAGGCAGCAGTGCTTTGTTCTGTTGAAACTGTGAACTTGTGAAATCATATATTGTGAAATACAGTCTCTTAATTATCCCAAGGTATTAATTATCTAATATGTCAGAGTTTTACATATTGCTAACTCATTTGGATGTGAAGGAAAATTACAGCATTTCTAGAGGTATTTGGAGAGATTGAATTAGCAGAGCATAATTTTACTTTAAAGTTATGTATATAAATTGTATTTCTTGAGCTTGAGACAAACAATGAAATTCTGAATGTTCAAAAATTTTATTCTAAGGAGTAGCTTGAAAGAAACAGATACTAATGTAATGAGTAGACTTAATAATATAAATCAACTGAGAGTTTAAGAAGAAAAAAGGCTTGCAATGACACTAAATTGTCTGCAGTACCTGCATTTTAAACTGAGAATCTTTTTATGCCTTTCATGGCACTTTACATATTACAGTCAGTAGTTTATAACACAGGGAAAATAGTATAACTGGATTATACACAAAATATCACAGTCCCAATCTGAAAGAAAAAAATCTTAAGGGCAGAAGATGAAGCTTTTTCTAGCACTAGGCAAAACAAAATTCCACTCAAATGAAGGGTTTTTTTTGGTGTTTTAGTAACAGCAAGAACATGAGTGCACTTTTTCTACAGCTGATACAAATATTTGGGTCCTGTATAACTCACATTTTACCATCTGGTAAAATCTTTTAATATTTTAATATTTTTTCAGATCAAAATATGGTATTCTGAATTCCCCAAATCAAGGACATGCAGATAAGAGTTGAATAATAACCTATGTTATGATAAGCAGAGTAGAGGTTTGATTTTAACCCTGTCCTGGGCTTGAAGAACTGAAACACACCCCAGTATGGGAATAGGTTTAATACACCACTGTATTCCCTGTATTAAAACTTCATAGTGCTTTGCATTTTGTATTTCTTGGGTAGGAGTTAAACGTTCCTCCAGTGCACTCAGTAAAACAGATATTTAGCTGTAGGCGTGTTAAACTGTGCTTGCAGAATATAAGCAGTGTAAAACAGAAGGTATGCAGTCCAAAGAGTGTGTGCAGACCTCTTTTCTGCAGGGAGAACTCTGCAGCTGTATGCTGCAGACCACGTACAAAAGATTCCCCTTTAACACTACACAGTTTCAGATAATGCGGGATTTAATGCAAAGCCACAACTTTTTAGGGCTCAAACTCCCCCTCGCAGAAAGTGTCACTGTGCTCGGGCTACATGTGTCTCTTGTCAGAGTTTAATGCAGCTCGTCTGGAACTGCCTGCTGGGGGAACTGGTTGTGATAATAAAAACGAGCCCCGAGTCCGAGTACAGCTGATGGCAGTCATTTACCTGCCAGCCCATCTCCAAGAAGCAATCTTTTCTGGGGAAATGATGAGATTTTTGGCTTACTGAAATGAAATGGAGCACTAGCAGATGCATGACAGGGATAATCAATCACAGTGGCTTACGCAATATGCGTTTTCCACTTTCAGACTCCAGGAATTTCTAGGCAGAGGAAGAACTAAGGTGGCACTGACATGTTTTAATTCATGTCAAATCTCTCTCTTTCCCTTGAGTTATGTGGAAACTATTCAATTCCTATGTTCCTACTTTCTTTGTCGTTTTAGATGGAATAGCTCCACCCAGCTAAAGAGAATTTAGGCTGGGGAATTCCACTCTCTTGCTGAAGTGTTTTAAAGGTCCCATTCCCTTTTGTGGAAAAGAGATGATAGCATTTGTTGTTAGTATTTTCTTTGCTGCACTGGGTGCAAGGTCAGTTTCCACACTGCTGTTAACTCAAGTAAAATATAACGTGCATTTTTCAAGAACAAGAACTCTCAGTGACTAAAAAGAGTCACGACAGACCGTTTTTCTATTTCAGGTTGCTCTTGAAAATCTTTAAACACTGCAAGCCAAGCAGTGTTTTATCCTAAATTTTGGCAACTTTTGTTTGTTTCTTTGCCTGGAGAAGGGGCATGGAGGGCCTTAGTGCCCACAGAGAGAGACTATCATTCAGAACAGAAGCCAAGAATGGTAGAGGTACTTGTCTTCTGCATTGTCTTAGATAATAAAACAGAAACTCATAAAATTAATCAGGAAGTCAAAAAGGGCTGGGTCTCCAATTATGAGTCGTTCACAGCTTTAAATTAAGGGAATTTTATAGACCATCTGTTGTCTCAATCATTCTCCTATATGCTAAATCGTGGGAAATTCAGCAAATAGCCTCAGAAATAGTTCCAGTTTTCTATCAGTGTTAGGATATCAATGTGGCAGATGCATTTCACAAGATCCTAAATCATATTCATGTTCTATCAACAAGGCCAAAGATTCACTAACAAAATTTATGCATAAATGGCTGCAAAGGATCTATTTGCCTTTGACAAATAGATAGCAACTAATCTCTATGTCACTTTTGAATATAATTTTACTTTAGGAACATGTTTTTCCTTTAAATGTACTCTTCATGAAGTTGTCTGCTTTTAAAGATTAAAATAAAATCCTAAATATTCATCATCCTTGGCAGCTGATGACGAGTACTTTTTCTCCTAGTGAAAGAATCAGTAAAGGTTTTAGATTAATTACTTTTTGGCTTGCATAAACAGCTATTTTGTAATCAGTGGAACTGTTGCACACAACCAGACAGACAAGACTTGCCTTATTTCATACCTAAGAACCTAATGAGCTTTTTTTGAGGTAATGCCAAATAGCACTTGGTTATGACCATCGTTTGTATCTATTTTATTTTAAAATAGCTGTTTCTCTAATAAAGTTGTTCAAGAGTTCAGTGCATTGTCTGAAAAAGACGAATTGCGTCTGCACAGAGAGAGTTTCGCATGCAGCCCACTTTGCTGGATTCCTGTCTTCCTCCAGTTACAATTCACCAATCTAAATCTTTGGATATTTTTTAGGCTGATATGACTTTTTTGCTCTTGGCAGGTGTGTGTTTATTTCACCTTCATTTAACATGAATATGAAGCACTATCTAAAAAGAGCTGGAGATTTTAATCTCAATGCAAAAATCAACGTTATTCTTTTAGGGGGTACAAAATGCTTGTACAATTCAAATCCTCTTGTAAGGCTCCCTTTCAAGGAGTGAAAATGAGCTGAAAGCAGAGCTACTTCTTGTCTCATACTAGGAAAATTATGAAAAGTGTATTGGGTGATTGTCCGTTATGTCCTGCCTAAAAACTGGAAGAGACAAAACAGCCAGAAAAATACAAACAGGTTCTCCAGGAACACATAGTTCAAGAGGCAGAACTTACTTTTCTCATTAAGTATAGACCTTGTCCAGAATTGATCTAAAAAACATAGCCTTGAGCAAACCCCATAACTATGAAGCCTTCTGTCCATTGGCAAGTCTTAACTTTTCCATAATTCCTTGAATATGAAGGATATTTGTTTAGCTGTCAAGCTGGCCTTTATTCAGATGGTAACTCCACCATCACTGGTTCCAGCTGGACAGGGCATGCGTCTGTCTCATTGGAGGAGCTGCAATATTTTAGTGGTGGCATTAATTGAATTTTCTATATCCCTGAGTTCATAAGCCTCCTGAAATCAATGTATTCTGGGGGTCTGCTTGGTATTGCTCTATACACAGGCAGAAAGTTTCAGATGACTTCACTGATGACACTGAGGGCAGGAATACAGCACATCCGTGTGCTCATTTGACAGCTCCCATCCTGCCAGAGGCTCAATTTCTGCCACTAAACCAATAAGTCTGCATTGGGCAAGTGATTTAACAATGATAAAGATTAGGGAAAAGAAGGGGAAGGAAGGCAAATAGTAGAATGATTAAAGAAAAGTAGTAGTTGGATTGGTGTAACTATCCATCTCGAGATCTTAAGAGCTGCAGGTTTGCATCTCAGGATATTAGGAAAGAATTGTAGGGGAAAACAAACAAAGGGAACAAATGAGGTGGTAGAGAAATAAAATGAAACACTGGACCTTGGCCTTATCTGACATGCTGGGAGATCTGTGGTAACTAAGTCATGAAATCCAGTCAGAATTGAATGAGCGTCCATTAGTATAAACACAATAATATGGAAAAGAAAATCACTTAAACAAAACCATTATTAAACTGATTACTATAGTAGCTGAGCTGTACATAATAAATTCATTATTTTATTTATGCTGCTTTATTAGTCAGCATACAGATTTTCATAGTTACCTAATGTACAAATAGGAACATTACAAATGATAAATAGCCCCTAACACCTTGTGTTGTGGTAAATTTAAATTTTTGTCTTGTGTCTTGGTACTTTTTTAGGGTCTTGCAACTTTAGTAGACTGTAAATACACAGGTCTGGGATCAGGAAGAGGAGCATGCTCCACAGATTTTTTTATTTTTAGTATCTTCTTTGGGTGGTCCAACACAGTTGTATTTATGTTTAATGGAGTTCATTACTGAAGGTCAAATCAAGTCCCTTGTGTCCTACCACTTGTTGTACATAGGCATGCTTGTCATCAAAGCTCAGTTGAAATGTGGGATAAGGATGTAAATCTAATTGAAATATTAATCTAAATTTCATTACTTGGTATTCATTTATTTGTAAAACCTTCATTATTTAACAGGACAAGATTTTTTAAAAATATTCGTATAGATTTTTGAATGCTTTGAGAGCTATTCCTTTAAATCTTCCAAAAATAACATCCTCAGGGACAACCTAACTATGTGAGAATTTCATGCCAGATAAGAACTGTTTTGAAAACTTACTAAATATATAAACAGAAATAAATAATGAAGACCCTGTAACCAACATGCATAAGATTGATGTCCTCCATGAATGAGCTACTTAAAGCTTATTTTTGTGCACTTAGCCCCCCCAGCCTGGACCACAGAATCCAGACTGCAGTTCCTGCTGCCGAGGTGACTTTGGAGTTCGACTCTACCAAGGGCCCCCAGGACCTCCTGGGCCCCCTGGGATGCCAGGTAAAGATGAAATTTAATTCACTTTTTTATCAGTCTAATTGCAGGCCATAAATTACAGGTTATTTTATGAAATATCAGAGAGTGGTCCAAACATCAGAATTTGGGGACAGATTCAGGAACAAGTTTCTCTGTGATTTCTGTAATTTCAGGGAAGACGGATATTTTCAGTTATATTCTAAGGTATTTTCCACTGAAAACCTGTTTATTATTAAAATTCAGCTTTCACAAGTTCATACTGAAAGTAATCTTATTACATCTCTCGGGAAAATTGGTGTCTCTTGAAACAGCATGAAGTTCCTAATAAACTTGGAAGAAATTGTTCCCTGGGGCTGATTATTGTGATCACCTTTGTATGTCCAGCTGTGTTACTGTGTACTGTATTCAAGGGCTTTTCTTCATCTAGCATACTGCTAGCCAATATTTTACAGAAATACAGATGCTTCTGCTCTCTTACAGAAATTCCTTCCCTTCCTTCTTCGATCTTGTCTTTCATAATAAAAAATCCTTTCTTTTTTCACATTAAAAATGTGCACAGAAGAACAGTATACACAAGAAAAGTACATACTTTGATCTGATACTTGATATGGAAATGGAAGAGCCTAGAGAAAGGAAAATGTTGGTTGCATGCTGGTGTAAGTTTGTTACAGCAGCTACCTTTGGGGATTTGGAAATCACCATTCCTAAAGCAGAGATACAACATAAATGAACAGGCCACTGAAAGACAGACTTGTCTCTTCTTCAAAAGCTTACATCTTCTGTTATCACAATAAAAATGCAATTCAGTGATCCATTAGTTGATAACAAATTACTGGACTCCTAGAAGCAGGGTACGATTTTATCCTAGATCCACATTTTCAAGGCTGCAGTGGACATACTGGGGCGTGGCCTTGTCCCAGTTTTGCCCTTCCCTCGTGTGTCAGTCCCACTTTCTGGCACAGCACGGTACCAAAAACATATGTTTGGCAGCAGCTTCCTGCACCCTGGGGTGGTTTCTGTCTCCTTCATTTGCTGGATTTCATGCTCTTGTGCCTGTAAGGGGAACAGCAGCAGTTGTTTTTTCCCCTTGATTGAATCAAATCTTGCTTGTTTCAGAACAGACTTCTGTTCTGAACTGGTAGAGCAGTTCTGGGTTCACATAAAGGATCATTCTTATTATTTTTAAGAGCTGCAGATTCCTCTATCCAAACAAAAATGTGCGTAATCTCTTTCCCTCTTTGGCTTCCTTGTTTGAAATTTTTTTTTTTCTTTTCTTAATAGAAAAACTCTGAAGGATCACTTCATCATCAGATTTGATCACAAACAACACTATTCTTCTTGTAAATTTGTAACCAGAGAGGATAATCAAAGAACAAGCAGAGTGGTAAAGAACCTAATTTCAATTCAGGTAGAATTAGAACAATGATTACATTAATTAATTCCCTGAGCTGAAAGATCAGGCTTTTGCTGCAGGAGGCATAATAATTGCTCAGCGATTCTAGCCAACTTTAAAATCCTGTCAGCTGCATAGACATTTGCTCAGTAATTTAGTCAGTAAACACCAGGAAGTACGTAATACTGCAGATGCATGAGTATGTTTTGTAATGAGTCTTTTTACTCATTTACTCATAGTAAGCCACCTCAGAAAAGCTTAATTATAAAAATTTTGTCTTTCTTTAAATCTAGGACCAAGCAATCAAACAACTGCTAGGCAGCACCCTGCAAATGCACACTGTCCTGTTTTTACACAGATTTCAGCAACTTTAATGCTACAGCCATTCATTATCTGTGTGGATGTGTTTTAAACATAGCAAAATCTTATTCAAAATTATCTGATCCTATCGTGATTTACTTAATTTACCAGGAAATTGCTTTTTATACTAAAACAAAACCAAGACTACTTCTGCAGGCTATCTAGTATGTGTCAATAGAAAGTGGCTTTTGCTTTCCTTGAGCCTTCTGTCTGCTGAGGTCTTCTTGAACATCTCCCCAACAAAGCAATGACTTGAGACACCACCAGTTTATACAGCAACACCAAGGCAACATGAGGGTTAAGTCCTAAAACCTATGTCCTTCTGGAAGCTTGCTCACCAAAACCTTTACTGTCAACATGACTACACAGCAGTTTCTTATTCATTACAGCTCAGCCTGGGGTTTATGGCACTGAAGAGTACCTGTGTTGCAAGCTGGTGGAAAAGGACCCTGTCACACTTAAAATACAATATATTATTTAAATAAAACAGAAGGCTTTGTTTCCCTTCAGGAAATCATGGAAACAATGGAAATAATGGAGCAACTGGTCAGGAAGGAGCCAAAGGTGAGAAAGGAGACAAAGGAGATATGGGGCCAAGAGGAGAGCGTGGCCATCATGGACCCAAAGGCGAGAAGGGTTACCCTGGGATTCCCCCAGAACTACAGGTACAACATCTCTGGCTTGTATTGGCTGCAGCAAATCTCAGATTATGGTTTTCTTCACTGAAAAAACAGCACCTTATTACTGTAAGATACTTAAGAAGCAAATCTCAATGTAAATTAATACTGTAACAAGCATACACAGCTTTTTTCCTTACTGAAAATTGTGCTCTGCCAGATCTTTCTGGAAAATAAAAGCTTTAGTCAGAATCCAGCTGAGAAATAGGCAGGAAGAAACATATATGCTTCCCTTTGAGGGCAAAAAGCCAATATCTGGGTTATTAAAGGAGAATAGCAGGGACTATCATTTTCCTACCAAGCTGTATCACATAAATAATTGCACTTCCCACAGCATATGGAAAGAGTAAAGGAGTAATTTTTCTCGGGGCAGCCAGGCTTTGTGAGATTCTCAGAAGCACACATATCCATCTCCTCAAAATACGGGTTCAAAATTATTTAATGCAGTGAGTCCTCTAGTTTAAAAAAAATACCCCTCAGTAGTTTTCTGTATATTTATATGTCTAGATACTTTAAATATGTTTGGGGCCATGTAGGTTCTGCCTATGAACGAATAACTCAAAATCCATATGAGCATTTAAATATGGGTTCTAGCCTGAGCTGTTGAGTTCAACTCTTATATTGGCACAATCTCACAGCTTTTGCATTAAAACTTCTTCAAATCTCAGGAATCTGGAAGATGGCAGAGAGCTTGTGAATGTATAGATATACATATATATACATACACATATATATTCATATATATGCAGATATATATAATATATGCATGTACAAATATATAAAATAAATATTCATAGTATAGCTGAATATCTTATAAACATATCTTTAATTATATTTAACATATGTCCTTCTACTATATTAAAACCACCACTGTTTTTTTTCTTACATAAAGACAATGGAAGTCATGTAATTTAAAATGAGTTATGAAAAAGGATAAACAACAAAAGCTCATATTGTAATACCTATTTCCAATACTTAAAATTCCATCACCTCTTTTAACAGATGTGTTAAAAATGTTTGCAGTATAGCATATTATTTCTTACCATTATACTTAAGAATTTTAAAGTTGTTATTGTGGAGAAAACACTTTTTGAATACAATACTGTTTTAAGTACAGGATTATTTTGAAAAACTTGGTGTATCCATGTTGACCTACTGCTTCATAATGAGACCTAGGGAGAAAAGACATATTTTTCTGCTGTTCTGATCAGCCCACAAAAAGTAGCTCAGGGTCAAAGAGACTGTGAAATGGAATCTAGACAAAAGCCATAAATTCCATCAATCTGCCACTGCAGCTGCTTTCCTTTAACACACGATGAACTTTGATGTGATCCTGGCTGAGAAGCAAGATATTAACAATTTGCCGTCACAGAAAATTCATCCATGCAGGGGTAAAGAAAATCAGCCCAAGCTTTCAGCTCACATCTGGAGATCCTTAAATTTCTGAACAGATGGCTAACGATTTCCGTTGTTGGATCCAGACTTGCATTTGATTGTCTGTTTTGGTTTTGTTCTGGTTTGGATCTGAAATCAAAAGGAGTTTGGGCTGGTTTTTTTTATTTTTTAAATACCAGCATAGCTGGAATCTCACAAAAAATGTCATTTTTGTTATGGGTAGTAACAGCTGCAATTGAACACTTGTCATTTAAGAAGCTGAGATAAAAATAAAAGGCCAAGTCTCTATGTAATCTTCTGGCAACAAGGTGCAGCAATTCTGATGCTACCCAATTTATATATAATGGTGGGGAGGATGACAGACTTACAGAAAAGGTCACTCTCTTCCCTGACCAGGCCAGCTAGAAGGGTCATTCCCTGGTATCTTGCTGAGGGTAACTGAAATTGTCTGGTATGGGATGTTTTGCACTGCCTCCTATGAAACATTTCTATGGCAAGGAATGAAACATGAAGTTGAAGCTCAGTTCTAATTTTCTTATTTTCCCCTCTTGGTCTCCACCACCCTCTGTTTTCAAGACTGACAGCAACTGACAAGATAGAAAAAGCATTGAATATTGAGTCCCAGCTGCTGCACTTCCAGAGGACCTCTAATAAAAGTGCTTCATATATCTCTAAGCAAGAAACACTAATCTGCATGGATTTTACTGAGCATTGTTTATTTTCACACATGCAGTTAAAAGCAATATCCCGTTTAAATGCATTGGGGAGTACATCAAAACTATATAAAATGCTTTTGTCAGAAACACCATCCATTTCAATACTAGGTTGCTATTGCATCATTCTAGCAAGACTTAAAAGTAAATAAAATCTGAAATTAAGGTCCTGAACTGCAAACACTTGACCATACACTTACTTTACAGTCATGAATAGTCCAATTGAATATGAGAACCCTAGTCTTCTTCCAGTTTCATTCAATGAGAGTTTTGTTAACTGGAGTTTATTGGCCTTGGAGCAAGCCCTAGAAGAACGTCTCTGTCAGGAAAATAAACAGACTGCAAATACAGGATAAAATCTGTACCAGATTGCCCTATACATGCGCTTTTTGTGAATGGCTGCCTGAATAAGATCTGGATTTTTGCAGGTCGCTTTCATGGCTTCGATGGCTACTCACTTCAGCAACCAGAACAGTGGGATCATTTTCAGTAGCGTTGAAACCAATGTTGGGAATTTTTTTGATGTCATGACTGGAAGATTTGGTGCTCCAGTGAATGGTGAGCATTTGCAAAACAAAATAATGCAATTATTGGAGCTACAGGGAGAAGTGTGGTCAATCAGGATGAGGCACTATTTAACTGCCTTTGCACTTTGCACTCTCTCTCTGTAGCTTGTGCTGCCTACCTTCCAGAAAAATTAATTGAAAACTGAGCAAGCCGAGAGAGGTCCTGCCAGCCAATGAGACTAGTGCTGACACAGAGGCAGGAGGAAAAGGCATGACCAGGGCTCAGGAGGGAGCAGGACTCTGCTTTAGCCCTTCAGCCACTGTGATGACAGAACCATGGCCTTGATGCTGTAGCAAGCAGCAGCTTCACAGTTGCCTCCTCCACCTCCTGCCTCCTGTCAAGCTCTTCATCCCCATCTTCCCCCATACCAGTTCAGCTGTGAGCTGACCTGCAACAGATGTGTGGCTGGAAATGAGGCATTACAGTTCTTCATGGGTTATTTTTCAGCTGCATCAATCCCCTCTCTTATGCAGCTGTGATGCAGGAAGAACAACCCTTGCCATATGCAGAATTAAAATTAATCAGATTTTGGAACACTATAAGCAGAAGCAAATTATGTGCTGACAACTGGAAGGCATCTTTGTCCACAGCTGTTAGGTTTTCTAAGCAAGAAGCACAAATCTGCAGCATGATTACTTCTTTCTGTGAAGCAAACAAGTTGTATTTTATAACCTTTTCAGGAGTGTATTTCTTTACTTTCAATATGATGAAACATGAAGATGTGGAAGAAGTGTACGTGTACTTGATGCATAATGGTAATACAGTGTTCAGCTTATATAGGTAAGTAAAGGGCCAGGCCATCTTAATGCAAAAAACATTTGTATGGATGTGATAGCTTGCTCACATTTCAAGAAATGTGAAATTGTTCATTTTTGGAAGAAATTCTCTAGGGTAAAACAACTAATAAAAACTATTTTATTTTGCCAACCTCAGCTTGCATATTTGGACCATACACACCACAGATGCTGGACCTAAAATTCAGCCTTGATCACCATTTCCTCAAACTCAGGGGAAAGGAGTTAGCACTGCAAGTCAGGGCTGGAATTCAGTGGTATTATGCTGACATTCTGTTAAATATATCTTCATCCTTATTTTGCTTGTCAGAGAAATTAAATAATGAAGTGTTTGGTGACTAGCTACAGTCTTGTTAACACGAGGGCAGAGAAATTTACTTTAAAGTTGAAATATGTTTAAGCTGCAGTAGTAGGGATGAGTAAGATGAGAAAAGAGTAAGGATTCCATTTACTGGCGGTTCTGTCATTAGCACCCCACTACAGGTTGCTTCATCCCCAAGAGATCCTTTCTGCAAAAGAAATAGTGTTTCATTCTCTTCCCCCTGAAGCACTGATGTCAGAAGAGGCAAGAGGTGGAAGAAAGGGGACCAATACTCAGACAAAGCCAGGAGGTTAGCCCACATCAAATGTATGCAGGTTCCAATGAAAGGCTCAGTATGGAGCGAGCTGCCTGTCTCTGCTCACTGCCTGTGCTGGGAGCACAGTGGCTCAGCTCACATCGGCCTTCTGGCCTGGAGGCATTTAAAATTAGCTGGGATAAATTCAAGGGGAAAAAAAGCATCACAGGAAATCTGTAGTGTTGTGATCAATGAGCAGTGTTTTGTTTTAAACACAAAATTTGTTCCTGTGTCCTGGAAAAAAATAAGTTACAATTCCAGAATTTCAGAAAGGAATGAAATAATGCACTTAGATAAGGTGCAAAATTTGACTAGGAGATCAAATGCAAAAAGTTGCCGAAATTTCCTTATAAAACTGAAAAAATATTGGCAAATCTTTCAAGAAAGTTTTGCTCGGGATAACATTGTACTTCTTGGATTTTTTAAAGTTGATTGCCATTGTTGAGGGAAAAAAAAGCTGACCTATTAAAATATTCATCCTTAGCTATGAATCCAAAGGGAAAGCAGATACTTCAGGAAACAGTGCAGTCCTAAAACTTGCCAAAGGAGACGAAGTTTGGCTGCGAATGGGAAATGGAGCCCTCCATGGGGACCATCAGCGCTTCTCCACCTTTGCTGGGTTTCTTCTTTTTGAAACGAAGTAAAAAAAGGAAACAACCCAATAGATCTTCATCTGAAGAAACAGCTTTTTTGAAACTGGTATATTTCACTGGACTGTGAAATAACATTGTAACATTGGAGGATCAAGAAGCCTTATTTGGATGCAATGTGCTGCTACTTGTGTATGGGAGATGAGCTCAATACATAGGGTAGCTGACACAGATTCACAGAGTATGTATTATCATCATCTGGGTTGCACCTGTTTAATCATTAAATGTTGCTAGTGCTCTCTTCCTCAAAAGTGAATGAAAAACAAAGGAAAATTAGTTTAAGGAATTTAAAGAGCAGTTTACATAAAGTCAATTTAATCTCTAAATATACTTTAGTTAAATATATTGAATTTCAATATAGGAATTGAAAAACTGATTAAAAATTTTTGGATCATTTATTCAGTTCTTCTTACATGTTAAGTTGCATCATGGAAACAGGCCTGAATGTATTATAAGCAGGCTCAGGTGAGACCAGACCTAAAGGAAGAAGTTTGTACTGGATTGGAATGAGCTCAAATCAAAGGAAAAAAATGTGAAAATATAGATGTCAAGGATTCAGGTTCATTGCATTCCCATCTCAAACCTCTGAAGATGTATCTGGTGTCATTTTTCACAGATTTTTAGCACATATTTATGCTTAGTCTCTCTCTCTTAGAAGAGTGTCAGTAGTTCTTGCCTTAGTAGCAGCTTGAAGCTAAGGTAATTTAGTTTGCAGTGTGAAGGGGATCAGGCAGGGGAACTGTAATGTTTCATCCTAGCCTTAGAATTTTTAAAACCTGATGTAGCCTAATGCAGGGTGTCAAAGCAAAGGCATATACGCTAGAGAAATCAGGATACACCAACAGCACAGAGATACACAAACTTTGTGGTGTTTGGAGCGCCTTCAGAAGGATGTACCTTATAATATTGCATATTTACTTAACAGTGAAGTTGTTGAAACAGTTTTCCTAGCAGCCTTCCAAGAATCAGTATTTCAGGAAAAGCTATTGCAAAGCAGCAGCTAAGCCAGTTCAGTATTTAAACTGGTGAAAGAAAATCCTAGCTGGCTTAGTAATTCTGCTCCCAATACACTGGGCCACTTTTCAGCATTCACTGGCTTTTCAAAATTTGGGTACCTGAAATTCTGTCTGGCTATTTTCATTTGAATAGCACAAAAATCAATACTGAAGTTTGAATACTGAAGTTTGATACTGAATGTATCTTGTTGGGCTCCCCACACAAAAGTTAATGAAATATAAATTCCTTTTTACAAGCATACATTTTATTCAAATATCACCCGCCATTAATGTATAATGAGAAGGTGGGGTCGGGAAAATATTTATTTGAAATTCTTTTATACTAGATACAGGTTATCAGTAGCACAACAATAGAGCAAATAAATCAAAATCCGCCCTATGAATTTGTATGTCCTTGTACACATTCCTAGCGTATATAACCACATCTTATGAAGAAAAATGCATGTTGATACTTGATGATTATGACTTGTGTTTTTTTAGTTTTATGCATCAACCACTGAAAATATTAGCTTTAATGAACTGTTGTCTGATGAGTTTTTATCATTTCTTTATGAACTTGCGTCAGGTCTGTGCCACATAGGTTTTCAAAACCTGAGACCATGTTATTTTGTTAAGCTTACTTTGTAAAACATACATTTATCCAATAAAGATTAACGGTTACAAAGCTATACTGGTTTGTTCATATTTATATTTACAAGGACATTATCATTTGGGGACAATAAAGATATATTTGTTATTTTTAATATGCTTTTTAAAGCATTTGTTTTGCTACTGAATGGGAGAAAGCCAGTATTAAAATATATTTATTTTACACATGTGTGCATATATATACACATATATACATAACATTTGAATCTGTAAGGTTTCCTTTGGGGACTTATTCTTCCTTTGTGACATGTCCATTTTAAGCCATTTTGGTTGGAATGGAGCACTTAGAAACTGTACAACATAGGCTAATTTTAAGCCCCTTAATATCTTATTATCTACTGTAATGGCCACAACTATTTTGTGTTGTTTTCAAGAGTTTTGTGCAACTTGGCCTGCTAACAGGGGAGAGTGACTAAGAATTACCACAAAAGCTTCTTTGATGAACAAAGAGAAGTTCCAAGGTTAAAGCTAAACAGTTTTTTATATCAAGGTTAAAACTTCCTAGGTTTTGACTGAAATCTCACCAGTCTTTTCTCTGCAAATCACTGCATGCAATCTCTGCTGATTGTCACAGAACTTTACAAATAAATAATTAACTTACATATATATTTCTTCAAAAGAAGAAGGAAGATCTTTCAAAATACAGCAGCTGACGTGTGTATGTGTGTGTGTGTGTGTTCTTCTTCAAAATTAACAAGCTTTATATTCAGTAAGTCATGTGGAATATATGATCTTTTTTTCTCAGAAATGTTCATGAAGATTAGTCATCTTTCCATTGCTGCTGATAATTAAAAGACTCTTGCTTAGCAGATGCTCAAGACAAAATGTCTTCTGCCAGAGACTTTTATCCTCTGTTATGAAATACATGGTATCTTGTAATTTGTATTACAACTGAAAAGCCTTCTGGGAAGTGCAAAGCTGTAATTTGGAGTATACTCAATGGCTTCTTGTCTTTGCTAAGATGACTCTGTATCTCTCCCCCTCCCTGAGCTCCCAGATTTAACCAAAACTTGGCAAGACCCACAAGTCCCTGCCTGCCATGAGAGCTGTGGTTTGGTAGGTGATATTTGACCTCTGTGGTAGGCACTGGCATCCTGGCAGTCGAAAATGCTTCTCAACACAGAGCCAAGTTGAGCTCTGCCCTGTGTGGAACACCACCCCAAATCCTAGTCCTCCCTTCCCCCAGAGTTCCAGGGACTGCTGTCCTTGCCTGTGACATCCTTGAAAGTTAGCACATCTCATCTCTAGCTGTCATGAGCACTAATTGCTGCATTTTGCAAAACAGGGGTGTGTGTGACTCAGAAGGTGCTGGGTGCACTCCCTTGGCAGGGGTAAAATACAGCTTCTGTGCAAGAAAAACATTACCAGAACAAAACCAAACTGGGGGGGAAAATGTTACAGGTCTAGGTCCCAGTTTCATGAGTGGTGTTTAAAGAAAGGAGAAAGAAATATAATTAGAATGCTGTGAGAAAAGAAAGATGTTTGTGGTTTTACTCTCAGAAGTTAGTCCATGGCCTGGTTGAAGAAACCTTTTAGACTGATGATAGCTGCAGTCTCAGCCTCACAGAAAAGCCAGTAAGCCAAAGGGATATCTTTAAATAAAGTAATATTTTTCTAAAGAGAGAATAAGGAACAAATTTTACACTCAGATCTTTCATCTTTCCTTCTCTTTCATTGAGTTTCCTGTGTTGCAACCTGCTATTTTCTGAAGCAGTTTTTAATAAAAGTGGCTTTGAATTAAAACTTTTTTTGCCTCCTTCTTAGTTCAGATTATTAAAATGATTCTTTTGTGCTCACAACAAAAAAAATCACACAAGGACAAAACACGCAGGGAGTCATTGAGTGGTAGGTGAAAAGACACAGTTCTTAATTTTGGTGAATCAGTAACAAAGTTCCTCTATTTTGCAGTTAGTTCTGCTTTGATAACCAAAGAAAATATAACCTGGGTGACCAGTTTGGATTTAAAAATCTAAGTCAACAAAAGGCTGTCATGCTCAGATACCAGTGAAGAAAGTCATAAACTCTAGAAACTATCCTCATGAATTAAAAGTACTTGATAGAAGGTGCACTTCCTAGTATGACCTAGGTTTCCTCTTTCACCAAAGGGCAAGAGCTCCTTTAGGTCTTGGGCAAAACCACACACTTTCAGAAGGAATTAACGCATCTGCAGCCCCCCATTAATTTCCAGTCTTCTGCCACTGGACTGATGACAGATGCTGACATGAAGACTTTAGGATGGCAGTGGAAAAGGCTCAATTTTCTGCATCTGCATTTGGAATGGAGCAAGTTATCCTCCAGGAACACATTCATAGAATAATAAAACCCATGTGGAGCAAAGTTTTATTAAACAAAGAGACTCCTTGTATTAACTGGTGAAAAATTGCACAAATGCAGGGCTATTCTCCTGCTTTTCTGGAAACAGTCCATCAGACATTTAAAAAAAAATCCACAAAAAGAATCACATTGCTATAACACCAAGAGTGGAAACACCCATGTTCAAATTATCTTTGACATCTCAGCTTCTGTTTCCTGTGAATGTGTCTCATGGTGTGTTCCTCCCATCATCTAGTCACATGCTACTTCTTGTCCTTGTCCAGCAGCAAGTATAAGATGCCTGCTGAATAAGGACCTGCCCATATACAGGAATGTGATAGGAAAAAATGAATATATCAAACATCTTCATTCAGTAACTCCATCCAAATATAAAGTTATAAAATGTGACTTTACTGTAGAAAATAAGGCACACTAATATGTAAGAAAGGTCAGCAGAATTAAATTAACTGCAGCTACCTTAATTTTAGAGTAGTTTCTAATAGTTTTGGTTTTTTCTTTTTCAATCCCAGCAGTCATTTGACAGAAAAACACTCCAGGCACTTACAGCATAGTAAAGATGATGAAAGTCAAGGAAGTCTGCAAAGACTAGAATTTCAGGCCAGGAAATTGGAATTCAGAGATTGTGCCATTCTGCCATGTGCAAGTCCTTGTCTGCAGCTGGAAGCGCTGGATGGAATTTGATTTTTCTCCTGTTCATTTTTTAACTAAGAAATAGTAGAAGCATGGTTATTTTACGGAAAATTTTTCAGATACTGCATCACTTCAGATCAGCATTATCTTTCCTCCAAGACTACCTGCTCCTCAGAATACTTGTTCTTTCAAATTATTAAAGACTCACAAAATAAATAGCATATATTAGGTATGCCATAAGACACATAGTAGATGGCTCATGGGCAAGATGATGGAAACAGTTCATAAAAATAAAGGTTTCTCAATCCATTGCCTTAGTAATGCAGGAGAAATTGTCCTTAGTGAATGTGGCAGAAAATACTGTCTGGCAGGAAGGGCTCAATGGACGTAAGTTTAGGGCAGAGTTGGCTAAACAGTAGCTCACGTGGTGTCCACCTCAAGCTCAGTATTCAGGCAAATAAAATGTGGAAATAATCCCATTTTACAGTTTCCAGCCTTTATGGTAGTGGTTGATAATAAACTCACAGGAAAGTATTTTTTTTTCTCCTGATTACCAAAAATAAAGATTATTTATATAAAGTTTCTTGCCATTCTCTTCATCTAAATCATGAAAGCTCAGTAATACCATATGCTGTGTCTGAAAGGAAAGAAAAATATTTTGCTTCAGGTACAAGGGTTGAGGTCCAAAGTACAGAAACCACCATCACAGGCATCTGTAATTTGTTTTCCTACTCACCAGAGTAACAGGGGGTAAATTTCTGACAATGTGAAAGCTAAAGGCAAAGCCTATTCTGTACAGCTGGAACAGATCACCACCTCAATGACTAACTGGATTAAAAAAACTTGCAAACTGTAGTTTTTCAAGAATAAGTCTATTTTAGTGAACAGGACACCTTTTATTTTCTATGGATGAGACAGAGCTTTTATTTCTAAATCTAAGATCTCAGACAGACATAAATTTTCAAGTAGCATGAATTCACAGCTGCTTTAGAAGGATATAATGATCTCAGGATAGATTTTTTGCTTCTAAGTGGTGGGGCATACACTTGGGAGAGCAGCAGTGTGCAAATCCACATTCACATAGAAGCATAGAAATACAGAAAGGCAAAGTGATGCTCCAAGCTGATGAATCTATTGAAATGGCACAGATTAGGGTGCTGGATTTGGCCAGAACATTGTACAAGGGACAGTGTGCCTGTTACAACATTACAAGATAAGAGTGGAGTATCACCCACACCATCTTTGCAGATATCAAGAAGTGTTATGAATGGAGCACAGCTTCTCTTCAGGCAAAGCATAAATGCAAGCTTTGGGATAAAGCAACAGAAAAAAAAAGCTTTGACAAGCTTGTGACACAGAACTACCAAACTCACAAATTCCATGAGAATCTCTAAAGTTCTCAGCTTCAGTTTATGCAGGTATCTTTCAATTTACTAGAGAAATTTCACCTGCTACTTACATTTTCAGGCAATTATAGTTACCAAGATTTGAAATACTGTAACAAATATAATTTTTCCTTTTTCATTTAACAAAACCAATAAAAACTGTACAGATATCAGTATCTCTTTAGCCATTCATTAAGATGGACTAAATAGTAAACAATATTCATGTGAAAGAGGAGAATCCAGAATTTGTATACAGCTGTAACTTCACATTGCTGCCTTAGTATTTTTCCAAAGGGCTAAAAATGTATGGGTAATTATTATCAACAAATCTGAGACCAAATGTAAAAGACTGGCATGCAGTCCATACTGCAAAAGTGCCTGCACCTCTGCAAGAAACGTTCATATAACTCACAGTAAAGATAATTTCAGTCTTTTAACACTGACTGTGAAATATGCATTTCACAGGATGACACAGATAGCAACTCACTGACGTAATACAATAAAGCACACAAAAGCACTCTGACACAGTGTGGATTCAATCACCAGACAACTCCTTTCCTCTACCCATTACCTCCTGTTTGCTGCTGCTTATTAATGAGAAATATTAAATGGCACTGCATAGATGAACATCACACTGTTTCTACTGCAAGCCGATGGTAGAGGAGATATCCTTTTTTTTTTAACATACATTTTCTTCTGGCCAACTTGCTGCTTCAGGAGAGTTTGCTGGACTCAAATCATTAGCTTTCATCTCATGGTTAATTAGAATATCTGTTTCTCTCTCATGCCTGTTTATTTTTTGTTTTGGTAAAATCCAATTTTTCAAATTGGAATTAATGCTCATAAAATGCTGCTCTCACCTCCCTGAAACTGAAATAACTTAATAGGGTTCTGACTTAAATGTCTCTGCCACAGATTACCCACTGTAATTCTGGAGGACAGCTGAACAGCAGGTGCAAAGACTGCTCAGTTAAACCATAGCAAAATCCAGATATTATCCAGTGTGTGATTATGGTGTTATTTAGATGGAGTAAACTAAAGAGCATCAAGTGTAATCAAAGGTGACACAACAGAAATTGCCTGTTTGTATTCAATACAAACTCCAAGACCTGAAGGTGTGAGGGGACAAATGAAACTGAAAATTAGTCAGAGAAACACAGTGTCACAGTAACATCATAATGTCTGTGAAAACAAACCCTTGTATTGAATAGTGTCTCTAAGGGAGATGGATAACAAACAAAACTAGCCAGCTTCATTTGAACAAAAATGCAAACACTCTTCTCCTGGCCATTTCTTGTGGGTGGCACCATAATAGTGGATATAATCAGTGCCTGGCGTCTACATAGAAAATGAAGGGTATTCTGGTGACAGATCTGTTATTGTTGAATGAAAAAATTCTGCATTCATATTAGCAGCCTTTACACATCTTCGTAGTCCAACCAATCTGAAGAAATGTATAAAATGATCATGGGATTGATATTAAGGACTTCTTTGCTCTGTCTGCTTCCTAGTAACCTCAAATACTGGGAGCAGGGCATAAGTTTGAAAAGCTGTGTCAATACAATGCCAAAGGTTTAATTACCCTTTCTGGATTTATGTCTGTTCCTGTAAGCAGCGATGCTGCAAGAACAACAGGGCCAGACAGCCCTCTCTAAAGAAAAACCTGGTGAAAAGGAACACCAAATTTTCATCACGTGTCCTGCTAATATCTCATTGTAGTAGCTGGGGGTCTCAGGTGTTTGGGTTTTGGCCCATCCAGGTGCCCAGGCACAGCTGGAGCCCCAGGCTGAGAATTGCTGACCCTTTTCCTAAAGGCAGGCACAGCGACCTGTGGCCCGGCTAGGGAACTGGCTGGAGCTGGCAACACTCAGCCTCAGGCTTCTGTGATAATTGATAAAAGATTCGTGTTAATCACAAAAGTTTTGGGGTTTGTATAATCCAGAATACTAAGGTCTGAAGTGAAGCATGGACACTAGATAAAGGAAAATATATGCTTAAATCATTCTGTTTTAAATCACCTTGTCATGAATATTATGTTTTCCAAATAAGCTGTATCTACTACCAGCTTGCAAAATCAGACTAACCGATAGCCCTTCCTGCCTTTGTTTGATCAATGCTGCCTATCTCAATGACCAAACTTCCAGATTTCGCTGGTGGTTACCTACAAAGGCCAGATGGTTATCTGTGACTGACTATTGCTCGGAGACTTTGTGAATACGGTTCGACCGTGCTTTCCTGCTTTCCTGGAAAAATTGTGACAGCAAAAAACCAAAAATCATTGATTACAACGAGAAACCATACTATAAGAAGAGGGTGCAAACCAAGGTTCGAAGGAGCATGGAGTGGGCAGTCACTCCTCACGTTCCCCAGTGCTGCTTGCTCCGTCTATATCAAATAAAGCAATCTAAATTTTGCTGAATATCGAGACATTTGTTCTCATTTATAACACTTCAAAGGTTGGAGACGACGATGTTGGGGGCCTTTCCCATCCTGAATGGTTTTGTGATTCTGTGAGATTCCCGCCTCTGTAAGGGTGTAAAAGCCTATGGTTTCCTTTGTTCGAGGTCCCTACATGGAGGCAGCAGATCGCTCCGGGGTTTTTTGTTGTTTGGTTATTGCATCACGACTAAATTATGTTAAGGATTTCTTCGTCTCAGCTATGGGAGAGCTGTTGTGACTGTGAGCGTGAGGGGCTGTGCCGCTGCCAAGGGGCCTCAAATGGTGGGAGTCGGACAGCCAGGCCGGCTGGCTCCTTCAAGGACGGACAGGGAAGTTTCCCCAAGGGCATGCCGTCCTGCGCGCCGACAGAAGCAGCGGGAGAACGCCCACTCCTTCTCACTGCGAGCCGGGGCAGAGGGCAGTGGACCCACCCACGCCTATCTCGATAGCGCTCGGGGTGAAGAAACCCCGGGAGAGGCAGGGCCGGTGGCCCCGGACGAGGGGCGGCAGCAGCCCGCTCCGGCCCCCGGCGCCGTGCGAGGGCGGGCGGGGCGGCCCCGGGGCCGCCTCCGCCATCGAAGTGTGGGCGCTCGCCAGCGGCGGAGGTGGCGGCGATGGCGCTGAGCGGGGTGCGCGTGCTGGAGCTCGCCGGCCTGGCGCCCGCGCCGCTCTGCGGGATGATCCTCGCCGACTTCGGGGCGCAGGTGGTGCGAGTCGATCGCCTGTCGCGGGCCGCCGCGGCCTCCGAGCAGGGAGACGTACAGGCCCGCGGCAAGCGCTCCTTGGCGCTCGACCTGAAGCGGCCGCAAGGCACCGCGGTGCTGAGGCGGCTGTGCCGCCGGGCGGACGTGCTCATCGAGCCCTTCCGCCACGGTGAGAGGCCGCGGCCACCGGGGAACCCAACAGCGCCGGGGCGGGGCTGCGGCCGCAGCGGGCCGGGCCGTGTGGGGCGAGCGGAAGGAGCTGTGGGGCCGCGGGGTGCGGTGCTGAGCGGCTCGCCTCAGCCTGTGGCCTCTGCGATACTGAGTGGGAAGCGGGCAGGGAACAGCTTTGGAGGTGTATTCCTGTTACTGGGGGCTCGGGCTGTCTGGCGGATTTGTGCAGTGCGGCCGCCGTATGAGACCGCAGGGAAAGGCTGCCCAGAGCGCTCGGACAGGGCCGTGCCCCCGGCCGGGCTCTGGAGGAGCAGGAGGGTGTCGGAGCTGAGGGGTCACAGCGAGCTTGGGGCCCTGGAGGAGCAGGGGGGTGTCCGAGCCGAGGGGTCACAGCGAGCTTGGGGCCCTGGAGGAGCAGGGGGGTGTCGGAGCCGAGGGGTCACAGCGAGCTTGGGGCCCTGGAGGAGCAGGGGGGTGTCGGAGCTGAGGGGTCACAGCGAGCTGGGGGCACCGTCCTGTGTGATGTCCAGGCCTGCTGCTGAAGTCCAGCTCACGTTAGGGTTGCCGTGCAGGTCAGAGTTGGAGCTTACAATTCCTTTGAAGGCGACAGATCTGACATTATGGTTACACATTTACAAAGCATATACCCCAGAGAGATGAATATAAGAGCATGTGCTAAATAGAGTAGTATGATTCTGTTATACAGGGTTACTCTGATTCAGGATCAAATACAAGTTTTGAACTACAGTCTTCATCTTCAAACATAATATTTAATTTTAGGAAGTTGCCTTTTTACAACCTAATCGCTTCTTGCCAGTCTTAAATCTACTTCGTGTAAATCTTCCTTGTGTTTTTGCAAGTACTTCCCATTTTTAACAGGTTAAAAGACAGATTTTTCAAATACTCAATTACAGAATTTTTCCATTTTCTAAAACTGTCTTTTAAAGAGAACTTTTTGTTCTTTTTTAAATCACAGTATGCATATTTACTAATTTTCAACATTAGGGGTGCTTAACATCTGATTTTCAGTAGCAAAATTGATGCAGTTTTAACATCAATAAACTTTTCAGATTGACCATGTTCCCTCCATTTATAAGCCATACACGAGTGCCATCAGGCACTCACTTGATGGTTATATCAGTGTCCCCCAGTGTTCCTTGAGGGTGCTGATCTGTTAGGAAAAATGCCATCAAGGTCAGGTTGGACAGGGCTCTGTGTACACAAATCTATTTGAAGATGTCTTTGCTCCCAGCAGGGGGCTGGGCTAAGTGATGTTTACAGGTTCCTTCCAACCCGAACCATTCTGTGATCATGCTTCACTGAGGAGCTAGCTGAAATGTTTTGGGGCTTTTAAAGTTTAGAAATAGGAGACTTTATCAGTTAGATACATCAGTTACACATCATGGACAGATTGTATGTGACAAGTAATTCTCCTGCTTTGGAAAATGGGTTTGTTCTTACCTTAAAGTTGTTTGTTTTACTCTTCAGAAGCTAAGCCAAAAAAACCAACCAAAACAAAAAACAGAAAAACAAACAAACAAAAAACCCAAAAAACAAAACAAAAAAAACCCCCCAAAACCCCAAAACACTAAATTTCACTTCTTTCTTGTAGCTGATCTGGTTTTTCCTTATGAATTTTGCTTTCTTTGTTTTTTCTTTGGTTTTATGGGCGCTTGCTGAGTTTTTTTCCTCAGTTGGAAGTGCAGGCAATTTTGTAGCGAGATATTAGGTTTTAAGGGCCTAAGTAAGTGAACTAGGCGAATCCGTGACCCATCGTGAGACTGCTGGCAAACAGAAGGTGAGGGCTCAAGTGGCAGAACAGTTTCTTTCAAGGCGTGTGTGACCTTACAGCAGTGACTTTGTGACACTAGAGGGGTTATTAGTCACCCTTTTTCCACCACCAATCATGCACTTTGACAAACTTCAGTGCTTTCTTCTTGGTAGTCATCACTTGTCACTGCCTAGTAATTAATATAATAGAAATAGATCTTATTGAAATTGGTGGTGTAGTAACGGTGTGGATTAGTTTTGTGAAACAAACTGGAGTAGTAGATTCTGGGGAGGAACAGCATTGAAATTACATTCCAAAATGTGTGGTCCTGCAGTGCCAGTATAGATGATAGGTAAAATGACCAAGCTGCACTGAACCAGTAAGAAGGTATAATTTATTTGCAATTCAAATTTCTTCTCTTAAAACCACTGCTTTAGGCCTGGAAGATTAAAATTTTAGCCTTGATTTCTGTAAATCCATGCTGATTCAACTTACATGCCACTGATTTCTGAAAGTTCTTTATGCCCTGTATTAAAAAATAACACATTTACTTGTTCATGGTTCCTGCAGATCATCTGTGGAATAGTGGCATAGTCCATTCACATCAGTGAGCTAAAACACACAGGAACACGAGGTACTGAGAAATGGTGACGAAAGTATATTCCAGTGAAATACAGATGAAATTTCAAGTGATTTTAATATGGAAAATGCGGGAGTTTTCTCTATTTCGTTTTTCCTTGTTTTACAAGCCTCTGGTAGCTTTCTCTTTCATCCAGTGGTGCATGGTTTTCTGTCAGTCTTTTGGAGAAGTAAAACAGGAAAAAAGGCTGAAAAAAAGACCCCTAAAACCTGATTTCCACTTGATATATATTAAAAATTCATGCAATGTGTTGGTAATTTTTAATGTTCATATTGTAACATGGACACTGAAGTAGAATGTGCTACTTCATAAAGTGCAGTTGAGTTCTGCTGTTGCATACTCGAACTTTGAGCCATTATGTTTTGAGTATTATTAAAATTAAATGTGAATTAGAATTCCTTGTTTATGTCTTTTTAAGGTGTCATGGAAAGACTTGGGCTTGGCCCAGATGTCCTTCTGCAGGAGAATCCCAGACTCATCTATGCTAGACTTACTGGGTTTGGCCAGACAGGAAAATACGCCAAGTCTGCGGGTCATGACATCAATTACTTGGCTTTATCAGGTAGGCTGTAAAATTTCCTGTTAAATATAGTTCCTTTCGTCCTTTTGATCAAGATTCAAGAACTTGTTGAAAGCAGGTAGCTCAACATTTACCTGAGATGCAGTCTGATGAAACAGCTGATCTGAAATGTCTCTGTTAATGAAATGGGCCTTTCCTTTCACTGTGCTTTTCTCTGATGCTTTCAGACAGCTCTGGCACTTTCCTAGCCCCTCTGTAAACTTCCTCACAAGTCAAAAACTGGTTAGAAGAAATGAGGATATTTTCTGCCAGGTTATTAAGGTGAAGCAGTTCATTGAGGGATCCTACCAACCAGTCAGCACAAGAGGAAACATGTACTGGACAGGCTGTTTGTTTTGCTGGCAGCAGCGAGCTGTTATAGGCTGGATCAGCATGTCTTCCCAGGCTGTACATTATTTCCCTTCCTTTGTGCTATTCTATCTGAATAAAGTATCCAAATATTTATCTGAAGAGAGGACTGAATAATTTCTTCAGGTCCTTCTCCTAGTAAGTCTGTATACCTGTAATGATGAAAGGGCTGCAGATTATTTTGTATGCTTGTGAGCTGATTTTTTTGAGCAAACTAAAACAAGGGAGTGCAAGACAGTTGAGGTCTTGTGCTTTTCTGCTTGTAAATATGTCTCCACTGATACCAACTGAAAGGAAGTAGACTTCAAATAAAGTGGAAATGCTACATTTCATTAAAGTGTTTTGGACACTATGCTGGTTTTAAGTGGTATGATTTTATAAGTATGCAGTAGCAAACAGAAACACGATTACGCACCCCTGGTGCTGTCCATCCATGCATGGCCCTGCCTTCTGCTCTTCACACTGCTTCCATCACTGATGCTTCTTTGAGCCTGTGAAGGAGGAGAGAAAGTGGCCCAAAAGTTCTTGGCTTCCCACGGGATAAAGTAGTTCTTTTAGCCCCAGGAAAGGGACAGAGCAGAGGCAATGCAAACCTGGTGATCTGGTATCACCTACTATGAGGAGTCATAGTGTTGTGGAATTAAATTTCTCTAGGGATGGATTCAGTCTTTCCTCATGGAAATTTTTCAGAGAGTATAAAAGATTAAAGAAAAGATGCTTTGAAGCACTTTTGACTTCATGTCAAGATGATTTAAACTATTAGGGTATTTTTATCTATTACTAGTGGAGGGAAAGACTCAGTACGGAAACAGTATGGTCCATGCCTACCTTGGTTTGAATTTCTGGTTTACGAATAGAATATTTTTTTTCTCTAGAGCTAATTTAATCCGTAGTGTTTTGGTTAGTGATATCCTCCTAAAATAATTTTGCTTGAAATTTCACAGATCAAGTTTTTCCGCCAATTAAAAGGAAATAGAACAAGGTGTTTGATAGGTGTCTTTCCTCAAAAATGAGATCTCATATTATGAGTGTTTTCCTAATGAGCTTTGGCTTCCTTTAAGTAAAAAACAGTTTGTGTTAGGAACTTGTAAGAAGTCAGTATATTAATTCTCTGGTGCCTGTGACAACTTTTCAGACTGTTAAAAGGAAGGTTTTAAGCAGCAGCAGGGGTTTTACTCCTGCATTTCAGGATTTGGAAACCTTTTATACTGTGCACTCTGTTGCTTGCCCATAGGAAGTGCATTAGACCATTAGTTGACTAAACAGAACCATGCAATTCTCAGGAAATTCTGACCATTTGTTCTACAAGTCTCAACCTCAGGCCACAGAAACAAGAGAGGGATGATCATACTGCAGTTTCTTGCTTGCCCAAAGGGAATTGCTATGAGGCAACTACAAAGAGCAAGGTCACAGTAAAGAGGTTGTTCAGGATGGCAGAGAAATGCTGACAAACTCAAAGCTCTGACTAAGGTAAACTGGCTTAGCCTTTGCTGTAATTCCTTTCGTTTCTGCATAATTGCTGGCATAAACGTAGGTTCTCTGTGTTTACACTGCATGCAATCAGAGATAACCTTCCTGTGCTAGTCACCTGTTCTTATATGCAACCTTTTTTGTCCTAAGGATAGTTGTAGAGGGAGGATAGGACTGAAGCACAGTTTTCAGTGTGCGATCCTTTCTTATGAGTATTAGTTCATTTATTATGAGCACGTAAGACCACACATCTGCATTTTTACTTTAAAATATTCAAAGAAGAGCAGTTTATCAAAGTGGCTTTGAGACATTTATAATGTCTCTTATGGGCAAGATTCAGTGCATGTGCAAAGTACTAATATAGAATTACTGCACACAGAGTTGGGAGTTTTAAATAAAATTTTGTCCCTATGTAGTCAAAATACAAATATTTATCTGTGAGAGTTTTGTTAATCTCTTTAATTAATTACATCTTCACTAATGTGATTTCATATATTTTTAGTCTTTTTTGAATTAAAGAGTCAGCCAAACAGAAATGGAAAACATTAGAAGATCCCTTTATGCCTTATTTATTTGCATAGATTGAAAAGAATGAAACTTTAATTGTAGAATAATTTAATTTATGCTTATCTTTGCTTTGTTTTCTCTTTTGTTAGGTGTGCTGTCAAAGCTGGGTAGAAAGAATGAAAATCCTTACGCACCTGTAAACCTTCTGGCTGATTTTGCTGGTGGAGGTGTCATGTGTGCACTGGGCATTGTTCTAACCCTCTTTGAACGTGCCAGATCTGGCAGAGGGCAGGTCATTGATGCAAGTATGGTAAGCTTGTTCTCAAGGAACTTAGGGTTTCTTCTACTCTAATTCTGGGAAAGGGAGGAGATTGTAAGGTTTAAACTTGAGAATTGGAGAAAGTAAAAGTAAGTGATCTCATAAAATGGCTATTCCTTCACATGCAAGCAATTTTCATGAGTCGCTGCTGCCATAACATCCTTATACCATGGAACACATACTGCAGCCTCTCCATTCTCCCTACTTTTGCCATTCTGTCTCCTTCACAAAGTATTAGCTGTATATATTTGAAGAATAAGTGTGGTGTATGGAGATAGGGTGATAGACGGCTTTTGGGTAACAGCATAAATGACAATACTGTTGGAATAAGAATTGCATTACCTTTATTCAAGATGCATTTTCTTATGAATTTGTGACAGGTCATATCTTATTTAGAAGCACTATTCCCTGGGAAAGTTACACTGCCCATGAACCATTGCCAGGATGTCAACTTCAAACGCTTTGTGAATATGCTGTAAAATAAATTAAAAGCTAAATTAGCTCAATAATAAATACTATGACTTTTTTCCACTGGAAGGCCACCCACTTACAGAGGAAAATACTTATCTACATTTATCCTTGAAACTTATGTTATCTGCAAGTGTTGTTTCTTTCTTCTTCTCCTGTTTTTCTTTTTAAAGAATGTTGTAGTTAAAATTTTACCTCCTTTTGAGGCATCGTACAGTGAGGACTAAGGTTTAGCCTTAAATATGAATTTTAAAAACTTACATTAATTGAAACAAATCCCTTTGTTGAAGTGGTCTTGAAGAGAGTAGAGCGTCAAGAGATTTTGGACTTCAATAAGTTTTTGACAAATTCACATAATGTTCTTAGAAGCAGTCCATGGCGCTATGGTCTAGATGAAAATTTTATTGGAACAGTGCCAAGCAGGACTAATGTTTCTACTGCAACAAAAGTTTTTAGTAGTTGAAAAAACTTAACAAGTGGAGTTCTATAGATGTTTGTTCTGGGATTTTTTTTTGTGTGTTTTCTTCAATAAGCTGAATTACGGATGAGCGATTGTGTTTAGTAAATTTACAGATGATACACATATATGAAGGACTGCAAGTATGTTGGAGTTGGATTAGAATTGAAAATGACCTTTTCAGATTGGAGACCTGAAAAAACTGACTGCCATTCATGAACATCGCTGCTCTGTAATCCCCTGTAGGCAGAAACAATTTGCTGCACAAATGCAGTAAGAGAACAATTGGCTAAAGTACAATCCTGGGGGGTTGTAGTAGTCACAAGCTGAACATGAGTCAACAATATCATGCTGTTACAAAACACATACATACTGTATTAGGAGGTATAACCAGGAAATAGAGCCAGCAACATTTCTGAAGCAATTATTCTAACCTATTCAAGGTTTATGAAGTCTCAGGAAAGTAATGTTTCAGATGTTGACCATCATCTTTCAACAATTAGCACAACAAAAATGACTCAAAAAATGAACTAAGAGAAGAGTTGAAGGAGATTGTGTATTTGTGAAAGAAAAACTGTGGAGAATTGTGACAAGTCTTCAAATATTGAAAAATACACTTCTTGTAGTTTGTAGTACTAGCAAATTTTCGTTATCATACTTCAGAGAATTAAAAGAATTTGTTGGAAGAAGAATCAGTTAAGTCTGCTAATGTTCTAATGAAATTTGTAGCACATTTGGAGTGGAATGTGCTATGGAGGTTTTTGAAGGCCTTAAAAATTGTCTCTTCCAATTTTTTCTTGTCCCATCATAATAGTGGAATTTACAGTTCCCTGCTGATGTGTCTGGTGACCTGTGAAATGGATGGAGTATTGTCCAGTATCACAGGATGTACTTTACCTGGCATTTGGTCATATTCCTTATTTTTTGACTAGGCTTTCAGTGACCCAGTTGATGAAAATGATACATTCATCATCAGTGGTAATGACTGCAGTAAATTGACTGGTAGATGAGCCTGTTTTTACACTTAAATGTTTTTTTGTGGAAGAAAATATTTTAAAAATCACAGCACTGCAGCATTTCAACTGTTTTGTATTAACACTATTTTTTGTTTGAGAGACCCTTTACTTAAGTCGTGTGGTTGTTCAGGCCCAGAAAAGCCTCTTGTACGAGTTTTTCCGGTCCAGTTTTCTCAGGCTTAGCCAGGGTTCTTTCCAAAAGCTAGCTGTTTTCCTCTAAATTAAACAGAAGAATTAATAACAGAGATAAGACACCTGTTGAATATGTGTCTAGGCCTGTAAAAAAGTGTTACTTTCTCTGCACAAATCAGCTTTATTCTATCCTTAAAGTTACAAAAAATTCTACTTAAGCAGTATGTTTTAAAATAAAATTATCTCCTTCCTATGCTAAGAGATAACTATGTAGCTGTGTGTCTTATTTCCACCACTTCCAAAAAGTTAAGTCCCTAACCCACAGCTACAAAGCTGTTGTACAATTTAGGTAGTCTGAATACATTAATGACTCAGACACATGGTCTGAATTTTCTGCAGTAGAAATTGCACTGTGCAAAACGAAGACACAGATGACAAAATGAGTCCTGCATTTCATCTGTCTGTCTCAGCAGAATTAAGTGCCTGGCTTGAATTGATTCCTGCCGGTTACTGGCTCTTCTCATTGACTCTCTAGGGATGATGACTATTGTAGAGATGATGACTATCTTGCAGGAAGCCAGATACTTGCCACGTGGAGTGGACACTGCAGTGTGACACAGTAGACACAACTGTAGGTATAATTTTGCAATTTTGCAGTAGGCACAATTTTACTATTCTTGCACCGCACTGGAATAGAGGCATGTGAGTCAGGGGCACAGTTTGGGTTCACTGGAGTTTCAGCCACAGAGCCTTCTGCTGATGGTAAGCATCTGACTGAGCATAACTCACTCTTTGTGAAAAGACAGCCACAGGAAAGCACGCTGACAGTGATTGCTTGCATAATAGTCTCATGGCAGGAGCATTTATTAGTCTAAGAGAAAACTGAGGTTCCAGGTTTTTCTCAGCCTGGAGGTACTCAAAACCAAAACTCCCACATCCTAGAAGCCTTCCTCAGTCACGAGGATAGTTAGGTTGGTGTGGATTCATTCCCACTTTTGTTTGAGCTGTTCTCAGTCTGTGGAAAGAACAGGCGGCTTGCTTAGCAGACAGGTCACCCATTGGGGTGATGCCTCTGGATTTTTGTGCCTGCTTTGGAGACTGCAGATGTTCTTAATGTGAGGAGAAATAAAACATATAACTGTTACTATAATTATTCCACAATTAGACTTAAGTAGAGTCTCTCCATGTTATCCTTTTCATGTTCACCACATTAATGAGTGTTTGGTGTAATTTGTACATGCCTTTGGAGATCTGGTGCAGATGTTAAAATACTTTTTTTACTTGTCTCAAAATTGCAGTGGGCCTCAGGCAGAACCTAGCTGTCCAGCTGCCCAGAGAGGGATATTTCTAAAGTCCCTGTACCAGTCAAAAACAGATGTGCTGTTTTATTTTAAGTATTTCCAGAGTAAGTAGCACATAACTATTGTACAGATGTTGACTAAGAGTTTTGTCAGCACCGAAATCTAATTTTCAGTTTGGGCTTATTCTTAAATTTTCCCTTTCTTTTATTATCCTTAATTTCATTGCTTTTTGTGTAATGTTTTTGTTAATATGAGCAGTGCAAGATCAGATCATTAGTAAAACAAACTTTATTTTAGCATCCTTGCAATAATTTTGCAAATATGTAGATGAAGATATGCAGTATTTTCTCATATGAAAGTACTTTAATTGACTTTAACATGTGACAGTGAGAATAGAAGTATTCCTGTCCCTGAAGCAGTACTAGAGGAGAGCCCAAGTAACACACACTAAATGAAGAAGCCCTCTTGACTGCATACTTCAGCAATTTGTATGTTTTAAATTTTTGTACAGAAGGATATAAACTAATAGATCTTTCTACAATTAAAATTTAGTGGCCTTGTTTTTTTGGTGCAGTATCTATGCTTTTCTCTATAGACAATATTAGGTTCATTTCATGCAGCTGAAAATGCATAAATCAAGTGATACTCAGAATAATACAGCTCAGGTTTTAATCCGTTCTACTAGAATGTTTCTGGCCATACACTATTAACTGGCTTATGTTTGCTTACAGTACTTTCAATACAATTGAAAGAAAATTAATTGTGTTGCTGAGAAAAACTGTAGGATATGATTTTTCTTAAAAGACTGGCACGACCTTAGTAATTATTGAAAGGCTGAACAAACTGAATTTTCATCTAGGTGTACTCCACATAGACAAAATTTTGAGGATTGATTTGGAGTGGGATTACTCATATTTTCTACCTCTGCATTCATCAAACTCTTGTCTATGTAGTGATTACTCTGCTATGTGTGTGTAACTGCAAGTGATGACAGTGAGAGAATAGTTTTTGTTTTAACTTAGTGTTGGAGATTTTATTTGATTTCTTCAAATTTTCTTCTGAAAATAGCGGTCTTCCTATAATCAGTATATTTAAAGGAGAAAAAATTTTGTATTTATGGGACTGGTACTGGTATATTGTTTTCCAGAAGTTTAGAAGGTGTGATAGTTGTCAGATGCTGAATGTTGTATAGAGTCAAGAAGCTTGTCCCATCACTTGAAGTTACTCATTGTGAATATCTAATGACTCTAAACTTGCTAAATGAGGAGGCTTTGTGCACTGAAACTGTTTTATCCATCTGAACCTGCCTTACTACATTTATACTCTTTCTTACTCTCTAATTCTAGATGATTTCACATATGCAGTGTAAACAGTAAAATTGAAAATTTTAAGAAATTAAACTGCATACCAGAGATCCTGTCATTAAAAATCCTGGCAAAGGGCAGAACTGGTAGTAGCTTTTAGTTGTTTTGTTTTATACAGAATTTAGGTAACATGACAACTAACTTACTGGAGCTTTTATTTATTTTCTCTTACTCTTCAAGGTAGAAGGAGTAGCATACCTAAGTTCTTTCCTGTGGAAATCACAAAAGGTGGGACTTTGGAACGAACCTCGAGGTGAAAACCTGCTAGATAGCGGTGCGCCTTTTTATGAAGTCTACAGGACCTCTGATGGGAAATTCATGGCTGTTGGTGCCATTGAGCCTAAATTTTATAACCAGTTAATAAAAGGTGGGTAGATTGGAGCAATTGTTTCGTAACAGCAAAGCATGATTGAGTGAATTCTTTAACAGTTGGTTTTGATTCATGATGCATAGTCACAGAATCACTGGGTTGGAAGAGGCCTTTAAGTTCATCAAGTCCAGTCCATGACGTAACACCTCAAGTCATGGCACTGAGTGCCATATCCAACCTTTTTTTAAATACATCCAGGGATGGTGACTCCAAAACCCTCTCAGATGATTCAAGTACTTGATCACTCTTTCAGTAAAAAATTTTTTCCTAAAATACAGGAAATGTGATTTCTTTGTAAAAGCCAAACAGTTCCTGAAGCTAGTTGGGTAGTTGTGTAACAGCTTAATTTATTTTCTTTTTCTACCCATTAATTGATATCCTTTTCACCCTCAGCAATTACACTAAAATTGCAAGTTTTCTTTTGGAATTATTGTAATTGATTGTAATGTGATGTGACTGAAGCACTAAATAACTTTTTCTGGAAATCGCTTTTTTTCAAATGATTGTTGTGCTTAAAAAGACCTAATTCTTTGGAATTGTCAATAGAATTTCAAGCAATTTATGTTATTTGTACTATAATTAAAAATAAAACCTATTTCAATTGCTTCAGAAATAAATACTCACTGGAAGCAGTTCATAGTATTTCTTGAAAGAAAAAGTTTTTGTGGAAGCAAATTCTGCTTAGATAACTAATTTCCACCACACAATTTCAGAGTGCTTTTTGTGCCTGGCTGTGGATATAATATTTATATTTGACTAAGACTCTTTAAATATGACCATAAATCATGATTTGTCTCTTCAAGAAATTAGAATGGGTTATGCAAAATACTTAACTGTATGAAATTAAAACAAATTTTCAGGTGCATTATTACTTCTGAACTTGTGTGCTTCAGCTCTTTTATCACATGGACTCTTAGCTTCTGATTGGTTATTTAATTAATTTTTCTTTCTATTGTGCTTCTCTGGTAGATTTTCATGCTTTCTGTACAGAATTTAAGAAAATACTAAAAATTAATGAAATGATTCAGTATTTATTATGTTTGATTGCACAGAATATGAAGGTGGTAAGAAGTTTTCAATTGAATTTTAGTTTTGGTTAATGAGTTCAAGGAATGTCAGCCAAGGATACCTAAAGTGAAATAAAACACTGGAACCCAGTATTTGGTGAACCATGTTTGTCCATGCACAGCTCAAACGTAGCCAGTCATTGCACAGTGAGTGTGTCAGGGGAGTGGTTCCTTATTCTTTCCCGCTGGTTATTCCTTGAATTGTAGCATTCCTTGAATTGTATCCATGCTACAGTTTGTACTGATTTTGCCTAGGATAGAGCTGAATTTCTTCACAGTAGCTTGCACGGGGCTGTGATTTGGGTTTGTGCTGGAAGCAGTGCTGTTACCCAGGGATGTTTCAGTTACTGCTGAGCAGCTCTTGCACAGCACTGGGGACTTTCCTCCTCCTCACTCCAGCGAGAAGGCTGGGGATGCACAATAAATGGGAAGGGATCACAGCCAGGACAACTGACCCCATCTGACCACAGGGACATTCTGTACCACAGGACACAGTGCTCAGCAGTAAAACTGGAGGGGAGGCTGGTGAGTGGTCACTGCTCAGGGGCAGGCTGGGCATCAGGCAGTTGAGGGTGAGCAATTGTTTTCATCTGCAGCTTGTGTCTTTCTTGCACAACGGGGTTGTAAGGTGGGATATGCCTTTGGTGAGCAGGATCCCAAAGAGAGCTTCTTCTTTACACTTTGGCTTTGTTCTCTCGCAGCCTGTGGTGCTCCCCAAGTTCTTGCACAGCTGTAGCTGTGAATGGCTGCTTCATTTATAGGTTTAAAAATGCATTTGTGTGGAATATCTAAATTGGTACATGCTACTATGTGAAATACGTGACGAAGGCTCCTGGAGTGACTCAGGGACGTGTCCAGCATTATGTTGGACAGGTCAGATGCTAAGTTTGGAAATGCCATGTTCTTGGCTGAAGAGGATGGTGCTTTTTGTCTCTAAATGTCCTGAGAATAACTGATTTGTGAACTCAATTTGTAAGCAACTTGATCTTGAAAAAGAAAGTGTAGTTGATCATTCCACATTGATTATTTGCAGTTCTTTGAAATCCCCTGAGATTTTCTTGCTAGCATAGGAGGTGAAGAACAAAAGTAAATATAAAACTGTATCAAAGTAAAATGCAAACCCCTGCCCTGGGAGTTAGGTAATTTGGAATTCCAGTAAATATCTTCAGGGAGAATGCTTGTATTAAATACAAAGGAAATGAGAAAAAAAAAAAAGGCTGCATACTTAAATATCCATATGTTTGGCTTAAGTGATCGAACACTGGTCTGCAGTATTCATGGCCCTGCAGTATTTTTTTTCTTTGGAGGGTAGGTTGAATCACACTTAAGCTACAGGACTGGTATAGAATCTGTACTTGTTCAAAAAGCACCTAAATTCTGCAAAGTTCTGCAATGGGATGTGGTGCAGTTTATGACTTTTTCTCTGTAAACTTTTTCTGGACTGTCCTGCCTTCTTTTATTGATCATTGTTATGGTGCATTTTTCTTTTTGCCAGGTTATCTAGAGATTACCCTCTGATGGATGAAACCAGTGACCCAGTGGTAGAATGTGGTCGCAGATGGGCTCTGTCTTCTTTAGATATCTCTTCACTGAGGAAAATGCTAAAATTCTGCTTTTCTTGTAGTTGTTTCTCAGAAATTTAGAGCTTAAAGTTAGAGCAGTGACTGTGAATTCTGCTTTTGTTGGGGCACCCACACAGGATAACTTTCTTTTCATGTTTGAAAGTTTTCTTTATGCTTACAGTGCAGAGAAGAGAAGTTGCTTGATTTTAACAGCTGAGGTTACAAAAATAGTTATTCCAGCAATAAAGAGCTGGTGCACATCCACTTGTAGGTAGATAACAACTGCAATCATTGTTGCACATGTTTCAGTCTGTTTCTGCTATATTTAAAAAATCCAACATATATGCTGCAGTCTTTGAGAAAATTTTGCTTTTTGCCTTTAATTATATCATTATCTTTCTGTGTTTACACTCAGTGAGTTTCCTTTGTTTAATTTGTAAAAGTGTGATGTTTAAAGTAAATGACCAAACTCAAGTTTTTCTCACAATATTGAATTTAAAGTAACTGGTCTTCTGTTACTGTGTTTGAAGCGCATATTGTGATCTGTTCAGATTTTCACATAGGAAATACTTATTCTTTTCAATACTTAGGGTTTCAGTCTTTCTGAAGCAATAGTGCACTAAATTAGGACGGCAGAACCTTCTTGTGACTTAGGGATTATTTCCTTTCTGGGATACCTATTGCAGAAATTTAATTCAGAATTTAAGCCTTTGAATATTATAGGGAAGAGAAAAGTGCCTGTGAGAATTGTATTGCTCTTTCACGAATCTGAGGATCTTTGACTTAGGCTGAGTCATCTGTTCCAGGCATTAACTCCAGTTTTGAAGTGAGTTTAAAATTGTATGTTTCAGTTGAGATTTCCATAATTTCATTTCATAGCTTTTCTCCATATTTCTGGTCAGTTCTGCTGGTGAACAATTTGGTGCTCTTCCAGATAAAACATATTCAAAAACCAGTTGATGTCTCTCTGTCAATATTCAGAGGGTAGATTAGTTTTGCCACTCCCACAGAACGAGAGTACAAGGATATGGGTGTTGCACATGGCAGTTGGAGATTTAAAGATTGCAAAATTGAGAAAGGAGTGTGATTTCTAAACCATTTGTCTCTGCTCACAGAATTCTGCTTAGCCAAAGCAGAACTGATTTCCTTTTGGTTTTAGTTCACTTCACTGTTTCTCTGCAGTGTTCCTGCAGGAACCCAGTGCTGGAACCTTGTGCAGTTTATGACATGGTGAGGAAAGTTCTTAAGGAGGCTGCAGAGGGAAACTAAATTTAGGAAAATAGAGTATATTAGTTTGAGAAGATTTTTGTCTTTGCAGATTGTGCTCAGCAGGGACAATGATGTTTATGCTTGCCAGAAATTTATTAATTAAATAAATTAAGACTTTATGAGAAACTGAAGCTGTCTAAAATCGATGCAGTGGAGAAGTATTTTTGGCTCACTATTTGCTATTAACAAACAAGCTGTAGTCCTTTTGCAGGTATTAATTTCATTGCTACAAAAATCAGACAATAGCTAAAATGCCTTGGCATCTTATGAAAAATCTGATGGAAGAAACATTTGCTACTAATGTTAAGCCTTTTGACAGAAAGAGACAGAATATCTTTCAACTGAGCTGTGAATTGCTTCACCAGGTTTGTTTTGTGTTTTAGCAATAGGTGCTTAGTCTTGCTGCAGCCAGGCTACAAGGGGTGTGAAGAGCATAGTAAATACTGTGGAGCAGGTGAGAGTAAAGGTTTCATTCTGAGTTATAAGGTGTAAAGTTGGTTGCACAAGGTGAGCTTAGTGCCCACTTATATTGGAGACTTATAAGAAAATCCTGAACAAAACTCTGCTTTTAAAATAGTATGACTGAAATAATACTAAAAAGTGTTTCAATTTCTGACATACCAAAGCAGCTTCACTGATTTAGCTAACAAATTTTGTTGGTTTCTTTCTCTTGAAATCAGTGTTTGTCTGAAAAGTTCTGTAGAAATAGAGATTACAGTTTGCTGCATCAGTAAATGATGTGGGGATGTGTCAATGAAGCTATAGTATTTGAAAGAGATTTAAAGCTATGTCATTATAGGGAGACAGTTTTTCATCTTTCAAAGATAATGTCAAAGCTATGCTAGAGTAGGTTGACTGGGCTTTTCCATACAAAAAATCGTAGATTAAAATTTGAACAAAAAAACTTGAAACTAAGTTGTGATTGCATTATAAGATATTCTGTGTAAAAGATACTGTGCTTTTGATTACATTGAGTGAAGTCTGTGTTCCTGTGGTATCCCAGACAATTCTGTGCCATGTAATAGTTTCCTTGTTTAGTCAGTCACTCCTGCTCTGATACTGCTCATCTGCACCACAAATGGTGAGCACAAGCTGGAAAATGAGAAGCTGTAGTGCTTAAATACTCTCAGTTCATCCTGTTTAAAGTTGAAGTCTTCAGTGGTAAGCAGAAAATGAGCATGTAATATTAAATTCCAGGTTCTGCATGTTGTTCCAGTTTGCCAGAGTATGTGCAGTGAGGCTCAGCCAACTTCCCATCTGCCATAATCATAAAAAATAATTGTGTAATAGGATAATGGTAGAGCTCTGCTCATGTTGGACTGGCTGCTAGAAAGCAAACCAGAGTTAATAAGAATATGAGTACTGTGAAACAAATTTTCCACTTGACAAGATTTCATGCTTTGAGACAGAAGCTCAGGTAGTGAGTATTTGCTTTCCTTTTGTGGAAGGTAAATTTGTCTCATTTCATAGTTCATAAGTAAACTATACTGCACTGTTTGTCTCCAGTGGAAGACTTTGAAAATCAATAATCAAATTAATTTTGAAAATACTGCTAGCTTTTATTTGATCATGATGTTCAACAAGTGTGAGTTACCTTCAGCTGTTCTCATTTTTAGGATAACAAGAATGGTTATGGACACAAGAGTGTAAGTTCAGTGATTTAAGGTGCACATGGCTTGGTAAAACCATAAGGACTGATCATCTATAGTATCATCTATCCTGGTATCCACAGGCATTTCTAATAATATGTGAAAATACTTATTTTGTCTTTGTGATTAATTTCTTCTGAGAGTAAACATGCAAGGCTGTGTTTCTGAGTCTGGAGACTGGCAATTTCTGTGTGTTTTCCTTTGAAGTACTAAAGTACAATTTCAATGCATGTATTCATTTTCAAAACTATGTTTAATCTTGTGATCAATGGTGAAATTCTTAAATACTGTGTTAAACTGGGAGAGTACTTTGGGCCCCAAGAAGTGCATATTGTACAGATTATGAATGAAGAGAAAGAACTTAAGGAGCAGAAGAAAAGGCATTATCTCCCTTTCTTCTCCCCTGCTTACGTCTACCCTACTCAGTGGTAAGGAAGCCATGGAAAGAAAAGCTATTTTAGGTGTTTTCTGCCTATCTACAGCTAAAGACAAGAGGAGGTTTGCATAAATTCTGCCTGCAAACAGCCCTCTATTACCCAAGCCTATAACAGTTGTTAGTCTAATTATCAGTTTGATACCAGACAACCAAAGAGATGAAAAAGAATGCTCAAAATTCAATTCTGCAGAGCTCTACATTTTCTTTGCCTTTTATGGGGAACTGCTGTTTTCTAAGAAAATAATTTTTTTGTTACTTGTAAAGAGTTACAATAATAGTTATTTTCTAGTCTTTCTGATTTCTCAAATTAACTTCTTTCATATCCCTGCTTTTTGTGAATTTTTCCTGCTGTGTTCATGCTCCTGAATTTCAAAATGGGACTCTTAGAACAGCCTTCAATATATCACTTCTGATTTCTTTTTAGTATCCTATACTCTGCTTATACCGCTGTACTATTTCCATTTTGAAAGTGTAGCTCAGTTTCTCTTTCCTGTTTTTTACCTCCTTTTTGAGATAATCTCTGCAAGAAGTGATATTCTTGCATCTCCTTGAAGTAGCAGAATGAAAGAGCAGAGATTGCAGAGAGCAGAATCCATGAGAACAGAAACAGATACTGGAAACTGGCAGCACGTAAGAGATGTAAGCTCCCCTGTGAGAAAGGATTTGATACTTAGTTCAGGGATAGATCTAGGACTTGCCTAATTCAAGAAATTGTCATTACAAGGCCTGTGTGCCTGTGCTTTGCTCTGGTGTCTCGGGAGGGATGTGCTTATTATCTACCTGGGTGGTCCTTACAACTGAGGTGGAAAGCAGGATTACTGAGCAGTTAGTGAGTGAAAGGGCTGTGGGAATTGGAACCTGGGAAGAGTGCTGGAGCAGAGGGAGCAGGAGATACTATGGAGCCTCTTTGGATAGTGGAGTGAAGAAGCAGGTCAGTCAGCCTGCAGGCACCTGCAGCTGAGGTGCCACATGTGGATCAAGCTGGGCACATCCATCCACACCATCTTCTCATCCATGGCATAGAAATAACCCTGTCATGTTGAACTTCAAGCACTGTAGCCTGCTGAATGTCCGGCTCTGGCAGATGTGCTGGCTCCTGAGAGACAGGTGTTTTGCTGTAGTCCAGGGCCCATTCAGCAGATTTCTGTGTTGCTACTGCCAGGTAGAGAATATGATACCTATTATATAAGCTTTCTTCAGGACATTATTACCTTGAGGCAGCTGTTGCTTCTGTGAAGTGTTCATACAAATGAGTGTTTATTATAGGTATGTACTTAAAAGGCTGTAGCTGATGGGGTTTAGTCTAATTGCAAGTATCATAGAACATTTTATTCCTCTGCTTCCTGCCCTTCACAGATACCCAAATAAAGTTCAAAGTGACTTTAGTATAGGCTGCAAAACACTATCTTCTTGAGGAATATACTTAGTTGTGGGAAGCACTTAGTAAATTATCCGAGCTGTACTCTAGTTAAACTTTGCTTTCTCCTTTCAGGTCTTGGGCTAAATTTGGATGAACTCCCTGCTCAGATGAGTTTATTTGGTTGGCCTGAAATGAAGAAAAAATTTGCATCCATATTTGCACAGAAGACACAGGCTGAATGGTGCAGCATATTTGATAATACTGATGCCTGTGTGACCCCTGTTTTATCCTTCGATGATGCTGCCTCACATCAGCATAACAAAGAAAGAAGCTCTTTTATCAAAAATGATCAGGGAGAGATAAGTCCTCGACCTGCTCCTGTTCTATCAAGGACGCCTGCTGTTCCATCACGTAAAAGAGATCCTTTTATAGGAGAGCACACAGAAGAGATACTTCTAGAATACGGGTTTACTAAGCAGGAGATTGCTAAACTTTATTCTGATAAAGCAATAGAACTCAAGAAGCTAAAAGCTAATTTATAATCTCTGACTATGAATATCAGATAAATTTCAGGCTGATATTGTAAGTTTTTATGCTTTAAAATTTAACTATATGACAAAAAAGTTTGCATAATATTGCTTTTAAATAATTATTTTTTTATTATTATTGACCTTTTAAATTTAATTTGAAAACAGTGGGACTTACATACTTGTGTACCAGGATGATCTGTTGTCTAGAATGATATTATAATTGTGATCTGAAAATCTACACAGTTTACTTGGTAGGCACCTGTGAACTCTCAGAATGTTTGTTTAAATATTGTATCCTTTTGTTTGATTATTTTAATTCTTGGTTACACCATTGATTTGTAATACATGTTGTAATTACCTGAAAACAATTCTATTAATAAAATATAGTTATATTCCGCTTAAATGAGTGATTTTGTTGTTCATTCATGAATTAGAAGGTATTTTTAAAATCTATTTTTTCAAATTAATTAATTTGCTTTATCATGCTGAAACTATGGTCTAACTTATGTATTCTCTTATGTGCTGCTGCAGAGCTATTATCTCAAAGTTAAATATACTTAACATCCTGACTACATTTTCTCAATGCAGTCTCATTATATTACATTTGGAATATCAGTTTGGCTAGAAACTAAATTCAGAATTTTTTTTTCTTTTTAAAATATCTGCCAACTAATAATCCTTTGCTCTCCTTATGGAAAAATGGTAGGCATCTTTGCTGCACAGGTTTTAAATATTGGTTATTCCAATGATTTTCATTTCCTTCAAACTTAAACTGTCATTTGAAACAATCTCTTTCAAGGCAAAAGAAAATTTGCTTTTAAAAAGAATTAGTTATCCGGCATTAATACAGTATTGTCTAGTCCAGTGTGTGAGGAATTATGACATGAAGGGTTGGGTGTTTTGATAATTTTGTCTGTGCTTTGTTGAAGATTGGTTTGTTGGTTACAAAGGCTTCCAAAGCTGATGTATACTTCAGCTCATTTTACATGTGTTGTGGCAAAAATGTCAACGTTATTACCATAAAAAAACTTTTTACATTCTACTACATAAGGCCCGCCCTGGAAGCAAGAATTATCTAGTAGGTCCTGGCAAATTGTCTAAATCATCAGCAAAAGCACCTGAAGTTTCCAGATGATAATCAGTCTAGTGTAAGTTACTGAACATTATGCATTGTTGCTGTAGGACTTGACAAGTTTCTTAGTCCCAGATATATCTGATCATGATGGAGAAAAATCAGCGTTGTCAAATGTGATGTCCATCATGGATAAGTTTTGAAACCAAAATTACTGATGTCAATTTAAAAACTCATGTTGCCTCAGGATAGGTTGGATCAGCTGCCTCACTCAGGTGACTAACCTGAAAGGTAGACTTTGAGTAAGGTCACTACAGGTTTCTTTTAAGGCCTTCCTCTGGCAAGACTTTTAAAAACTCACCTCTGAGTAATTCTGATATTCTTTGTTTTCAGAAACCAAGAAATAATCAGTTCTTTTAAGGGCAGTACACAGCACATACAAAAAACTACTCATCAGTTGCTGCTTGACAGATTTCTGTCAAGCTTTATATCTTCGTCTAATGCTCAAGGGCAATGGATAGGTTCACTTACTCATCCTTATGAGGTGCATTGAAATCCTTTTCCGGAAAGATACAGACTTTTCCTCCCGGGTTAGTCGGCAGGGAATGGTGTAGTGCTGATGTTTGCTGAATGGAAAGATGAGAATGGGTTCCTGGTGTCACTGCCATCTTACTGCAAGATCTTACAGCAAGAGGAACAGCTTTGTGTCAGGCTAATCCTGCGCCTGGACCATGTGATGTATGTTCCCGTTATATGTGTGCATCATGCATAAACAGTAATTCCTCAGTTGAAGATAGTCAGGAGCACTGCAGACGCCCAAAAGCTTAGATCTGCTAATGTGAACACACGCTTCCCCGCCCCCTTCCTGGCATAACTTGTGATCACAGAGCCATGAAAGTATGTGAGTCCCTCCCCCGCACAGACCGATCCCACCCGGCATATGATCTGGGCCCCATGTCAGCCAGAGCAGGCAGCACCCGCTCGCCACGGCACCGCTCGCAGCCGGAGCTATGACCTTAACGAAAGAGAGCTTCCACGGGGCTCTTCTCTCCACCTCTGGAGAGGCCAAGGCCGACAAGAATGGCACCAGCGAGAAGGAGGAAGCTCAGAGGCAGGCAGTGATGAGGACTGGAGCAGCGGTGCCAAGGAGGCGAGCGGTGCAAAGGCTGGTCATGCACAGCATGGCCATGTTCGGCCGGGAGTTCTGCTATGCCGTGGAGGCCGCCTTTGTCACACCGGTGCTGCTCAGTGTAGGGCTGCCCAAGAACCTCTACAGCCTCGTGTGGCTCATCAGCCCTATCCTGGGCTTCTTGCTGCAGCCCGTGGTAGGTTCAGCCAGTGATCACTGCACCTGTAGCTGGGGCAGGAGGCGACCTTACATTCTGGGTCTGGGCATCATAATGCTGTTAGGCATGGCTTTGTACCTCAATGGGGACGTGATGATCTCAGGTGAGTGAGGGGCATGTGCTATGCTGACAGACAAAACCCATCCTAGCCTTTTGAATCAGAAAAAGGAGAGGGGTTCCCCTTTTCCTTCTTAAAACGCACTGTTAAAATTTCGTATCATATGACTCGGGTGCACTGAAGGAGCTGGGGAGCACAATCTTTGTGTACGTTCAGTCCTAACTCTGCATGCTATGTACCCTGTGCACAGTGTTGTGTAGTCCGTGCATGTGATTGCAGTCCGTTGTATATTGGTTTGGTTGCCTGATAAGCTCCTACAGGTAAAGATTTGCTTAGGCCATAGAAGCTTATATGAGCTAAGATCTAACTTGTTAACTTAAATGATACTATTGTTTTTGTGATGTAATAATATCCAAACTTAATCCCCGTTCATCCCTATTTTAGATGGATTAGTATTCAAAATAGTCGTCTTTAATTATTGCAGCAATGGCTTGACTCGGGGCTATGTTGTGCTGGTGAGAAACAGAAGTCCTTAACTGCTTGGAAATCTCTCTGTAGCTGAAACTTGCAAAATCAAACAGAAGTGACTGCCCTATTGTTACATTTTTATCATGGGGTGTAGCTTCTTAAAGTCTTGATAGGCAGTTGTTGCTGGCTAGGCAGATGGAGGAGGTGTGTGTTTTACAGATTGATTTATTCTCTCTTCCTCGATATTATTGATGTTGAATATACTTGATTTCATTGGCCCAGAAAGAGATGTTGCAGTCAACTCTTGATTATGTAAAAGAATATGAGGGTGGGACAAAGAGAATAAACTAAAAGTACTAGAAAATGCGTGTGTTAGGCTACCAGAGCATGCCTTGAAAGTGTAAAGAAATAGATTAAGAATAGTGATGCTCTTGGTGGTGGTAGAGCTTGAAGCTTTCTGAGCATGTGCTGAGTCAAAGCAGTAAGTCAACCTAGCCCAGCTCAGCACTACACAGACTCAGCTCTCCTGCTTCTCTGATGAGACTCTGGTGTCACTGGACTCTCTTGCATAACCAGTCGTTGTTTAGATTTTGAGGTATCAGGAGAGACTAAATGTGGTTTTGCAGAACATGGCACTGTTGCTGTCAGAATGAGGGTGTTTTTCTTTTTTTAGCTTTCATCGATGAGAGAGACAAGCAGCGGACGTGGGCGATAGTCATTACCATGCTGGGAGTAGTACTTTTTGATTTTGCAGCTGATTTTATTGATGGTCCCATCAAAGCATATTTATTTGATGTCTGCTCTCATCAGGATAAAGAGAAGGGTCTGCATTACCACGCCCTCTTTACAGGTACACTGATCCCTTCTTTTCCTCCCTACCTCTCGAAGGAGGGGAGGGTAATTTCATGGATTTTATCCTCATTGTGTTTCTAATCTTGAATGAACTGATCATCTGATCCTGCACTTCAGTCACGAGACTTTTGTTGCTGGGTTTTCACTACTCCAGAGAACAGCAACTTGTGACTGCTGCTACAAGAATTCTGAAAAAGGCTGCAGGCACAAACAATTACAGCAACACAGACATGATTTAAGAGTAGTTAGTTATTTTAAAAAGTGAAGTAGTGTTTGTTAAGTTTGTTTTGGTTTTTTTTTTCGAGTTTTGCTGAGGCAAAAATTAATGCATGTATTTTTTGCATTGCTTATAGAAATAACATTTTTGACTTGTCATGTGACATAGAACAGGAGCTGCACAAACCAATTGGTTTCCATTCTTCATCAGTGCTCCAGTATGTGCTGTATAGAAACAGAAGTTCTGTGTAAAATTCAGAAATTCACAACTCCCACAAAATAGGTCCAAGTAGTTCAGTTCAAGTTCCTGCAAATGAAGTTTACAGCTTCACTTGCCTTTGTACATTTTTGGAATGTTGCCGAGTTACAGAAGGACACTAAGCTGTTGGAATAAGGCCAAGGGAGGGCCATGAAGTTGACAAGGGGGCTGGAGCACCTCTCCTATGAAGACAGGCTGAGAAAGTTGGGGTTGTTCAGCCTGGTGAAGAGAAGGTTGTGTAGAGACCTCAGGATCTCCGGTGTCTGAGGGGCCACAGGGAAGCTGGAGAAGGACTCTTCTTTACGAAGATGACGGGAAATTTAGGCTGAATGTTAGAGATTCTTCCCTAGGAGGGTGGTGAGACACTGGAATAGGTTGTCTGGGGAGGTTATGGATGGCCAACCCTGCCAGTGTTCCAGGCCAGGATGGATAAGGCCTCGAGCAGCCTGGTCCAGTGGGAGGTGTCCCTGCTGGTGGCAGGGTGGGTGGGACTGGATGGTCTCTAAGGTCCATTCCAATCCCTGAACATCGATTCTCTGAAATCATCTCTACAATGTGAGCCTTGTGTTGAGGAAATGCACAGGGAAAACACCTAAGATGCCTAAGGCTGTGTACCTATGAAGTGACCCAGGAGGAACCTCCTGCCATGTCTGAGAGTAGTCCCTGTGAAAGCACTGGACAAAAAGCAGGCTACATGAGAAGTCATGCAATCTTTGTTACAGCAGATTTTTGTTGCTACTGAACCCCCACCAGGAGCAGGGACACGTACACTCAGTAGCAGTTACTCAGTTCAAGGAGGGGGTGTAGTAGCTACTGACAACAGGTTGATTTTGGACACATGAAATAC